CTTTTCATATTCATGGGACAGTGCATCTAAATTATAATACCAAGCATCTGTATCGTGTCGTTGTCGTAATCGTGTACAGTGTAAACGTAGCTTTAATGCGTGTTTAATGAATCTTCGCTTTCATATTAAGCCAAGACTCTGAAATGTATCATAACAATATATATTATCATGCAATGTACTTAATAACCATAATAGGTAGTTTTCGTCGCACGAGGTTAACCTTAACTTTAACGTTAGTAGGCCTACCCAACATGATGCGCAACCCGTAACTAACGTACGTCGTGCACGTAAAATCCTGAAATTAACGTACTCCGCAACGCAAGATGAATAAATTTAACGTCATCCGTTAACGTTAAGGTTAACGTCGTGCGGCGAATCCAGAGGGGATTCAAGCGAACCCACCTCTGTGAAAAAACGTAACAAAATACAGCTGGGTCCTGGCTTACAAAAGGCATGCTAACCTACCTAGGCATAGGTTGGAAGATCAACTAGTTTTCAATTAAATAAAAAATACACACTGATTTTGATTCGCCGTCGTAATAATTTATGTAAAGTGCGTTCTTCAGGCCTATCGGTTCATCGATCCATGGAAGACTACATATCTAACTACTCAATGGTGTTGGAATATAATAATATATTGCCTGTCTTTGATTTTTTCTCCTCTATGATAGGCCTAAAGAATGAGATAAAAGGGGTAAAACCTTGAATTTTTAAGAACTTAAGGTCATTAAAAGACTCCTCAGAAGTCGGGAAAGCTCATTTCCGGCCGTCTAGGAATGAAAATTTTCCCGGGGAAGGACCCCCTTCTCATTTTGGGGTTTTTTGGAAACATTTTCAACCCCCCTCTTTTAAATCTTGGATCCACCCCTGCCTATTATGTTATATAGCGCTTAATGCCAACAAGGCCTCTATGCACTTCACATTACTATCCCCAGTCATTGGATCAAGCACATGGGAACACATACGCAGTTCCCTGAGAAAGATTTCATAATGTTGCAGAATAATCAGCGCATTTTGTGTTTGAACCTACCAGGTACCCACTTGTACTCCTGGGTGAAGAGAGACAACCATAGGTAAAGTGACCTGCCTAAGGACACAAGCGAAATGCACAACGAGGGATTGAACCTCAGACCTTAAGGTTGAGAGCAGAACCACAACTGCTTCGGCACTCCTACAGTACTTGTAACTATTACTTTTGATATTCAGAACAATAATAAAAATAATATTAAAATTCACATACTACAAAATACTGTAACATATTCAAGTGTAACCATGGTACTTTTCAGATTAAATTTTTATTCAAAAATATCAGCAGGCTAAGCTTCAAGCTATATTGCGACCATAAACACATCATAAATATAAATAAAACTACAACATCAAAAGATTGTACAGGCAACAAAATAATTTATGATGATTAAAAGCTTTGAAGATAATAATGATCATCGATGACTGATGTATGATGATGTTGATGATATCGTTGTTTATGATGATGATGATACAGGCTACGTTCACACACGACAGCACGGTTAGCAGGATCCAGATCACAAACATACGTGCTCACCCGCACATTTATACAAGAAAATTCCCGATCCAGATACCAAGAAGATGTTGATCAAATCACTGGCCAATAGGAAAGTGCTCCTGATCCAGATACTAGGGCTCTCGTGTGAATGTACCTGACAAATAATTATGATGTTTCAGTTGTTAATGATGATTATGGCACAGCTGATACTTATGATTTCAATACATGAAAATTACGAAAATTCTTTTGACAATATTGATTGAAAATGATTATGGTCAATTAATACACTACTGATGATTATTATGAAGGGGGTGTTAATTATAATAGTTATTAATTATAAAAAAAGATGATGCTGTTTATGGTCAGACCTCTTAAAATGTAGTGCTACCCACATCTGTATAACTGTACAACAATCCTTAAATACAAATATTGTTTTTGTTTTTTCAAAAAATATATACTCTCAAAATGCAATCTATCCTAATTTATATTAACAAAAAACACATATAGAAAAATAACTCACTAAATTATATCAAAAAATAATATATAAATTATATTGTTTGGTATTTTTGTACACAAGTAAATAGGAACAATCTGTTGTTTACCACATAGTAAAACATTTACTGCACAGAAAAGTCAGGCAAAATGGAGATTGATACAACACAGTTACACATAATTATTAAAGGTACAGGACCACTGTCTACTAAAATCTGCAAAACCCTAAAAATCAAGACATGGAATTGCTTATTTCAAAATGATCTTCATAAATTTGTTGCTCACATCACAAACTAACACAATCAAAGTAGACTGTGTTAGATCACGAAGACAAAAAAAGGGTTCCAAAACAAGCATATATTGGTTATCAAGCAAATTTTGTATTCTTTACCAAGCAAAAAAGCCTGTAACGACAACAGCGCCTATTTTAATGCACTATTTTGTTTTCACAAACTAACACAATTATAACATAACATAATTGTGGTAGTTTGTGATATGAGCGATAAATTAACAACTAATGAAAACTGATACTGATTTCATTGATTGCAAACTTTTACATTACAAAAATTCTTACACCAGCCAATTAGAGGTTTTAGGCATTACTCAAGTACCAGTTAATTGGCAAAAATTGAAAGCTCAGAAATAATACATAAGTATAAGAGGAAAATAATTTAAACATTTAATTTTATATTCCAGGTATATATATTAACACAACACAGTTATTTTTAACAAGTTTTGATACTTTTGATAAATACATAAAAATATATGAATAAAATATACTGAATTAATTGAATGTCTTAATATACTGTATAACTGTGATTGCGATTTTAAATTCTGAAATACAATTTTACTGTACATATTTGGTATCGTACCATTCTTGTTGACTTATGAAGAGTAGTGTGTTCGACACCTACTGTAGTAAGGTCGGGTCAAGAGACTGTCTACCAGTTGCACTTGGAGGGCTGGTCATGTTGTCAACTGAGGAACAACATCCAGAGACACCCAAAAACTTAATTTTACTTTGTGGTCTCTCGAAAAGACAAATTTTACCAGATGGGACGCCTTAAAAATACCAATTTTACCCTACAGACTCCCAAAAACTTAAAAGACCCATTTTAGCATACACATCTGCCAAAAAGACAGTTACAGTTTTTACTGTACAAACTCCCGAAAGAACAACTTTTTACAATGCAGACCCCAGAAGAACCAAATTGAAGAAGCATGTTAGAAAAAAATTAGCATATTTAAATTGAAATAACTGTACATTCTTAATTTAAATATATTCAAATGGGCACTGCCTTCAAAACTACTCCTAATTAATAACAGTCTTACAGCAAATGCAATTACGATAATATTCACTAATTAATTTCAGAATACCAATGTATAATTATGATTCATCAATTCAAACACACAAAAACTGGTCTAATACATATAATACTGTACTAATGTAACCGTAATAAATATTTAATAATATACAACAATAACAAGGATTAAGCCTTTACAAAAAACACTACAAATCCATTTAATGCAATTTGATACCTTTAAAGTAATTTACTTTTAAAAAAGAAGTAAACAATAATAAAAAATAATAATTAATAAAAAAAATAAAGGTTAAATACAAATTACTAGTTTCTCTTGTCCCCTTGCGTATCCATTTTTTCGTCCTCACCAATTTCATTCTCCTTTTTTCAAAATATTAGGACGAGAAACTACTTCTTTTTTAACTTGGTAAAATACTGTACATGCTGAGGTGTAAGTAGCAGTGAGAACTGTTTAAAAGCTGCTGTATAATTATATAAAATAAATTTTGAAACCATCGATTACAGTACAGTTTTCAACAATACAGTTTTCCCTGTAATTAAAGTCCCCTCCAATAAGAGACCACCTTTAATTATTATTAAAGACCACTTTTTTGTGGTCCCATATTAACAAATGTCTCTTATCTTTATTATTCTAATAGACCAAGCCAATTTACGACCATGGAAACCTCCCGTCCCAAAAGTGGTCTTTGAATGGAGGGAGACCTGTATACAGTACTATTTTTCAATGAACAATACAAGAACATTTTTGGATATAAAAAGTCTAATCATTAATTTACATAAGTTTTATAAGTTTATAAAATACATGGGACATCAGAAGGAGTTGAGAATAAGTATTTTGTTTATACAAACATTTAGACGAATCAGAAGTAAGCTTTGAAGTAGCAGTTCACTTGTTGTAAGTTTCTTCAAAGTTACTATAGATGATTTTAGTATGCTACAGTTCTTCCGCATACACAAAGAATGCAATTGTAAGGTATAATATGCACTAAGAGTATGGCCCTGTAAATACAACTTTATAATGACCTCAATTTTTTTCAAAAGATAACTACCTACCAATGAGTACCAAATTAATATTTCCTGTGATGTGTTCACAGACACAATTTTTTCATAATTGTTTAAGAATTTGCATAATAAATTCTATTGTAACTCTTAACTAGATTTGAAGTAAAGAGAACATTCTGCCCCAGGTAAGCATCGTGTGGACACTCATCAAAAGTAACAGGCATGTAAAATTTTACATTTGTCATAACTTTATTTTAGGCGGAAGGCGATCTGAACATAGCTTATTAGCATTTAAATGGCAAATGATATAGCAAATTACACAGGAAACATGTCAATATAATGCACCATTGTTGTAAAAATGAATACTGTATGGGGAACAACATAACCTACTGTATGGGGAAAATGCCACCAGAGGCTGTTGTATGGGGAAATAACGTCACCTATGATAAACAACGTCACCTGGGAACAACCTCACCCAGGGGAATAATATAACCTACTGGGAACAACAACACTACAGTATGGGGAACCAGGTCACCTATGGGGACTAATACTAATTTATTTAGACACCAGTTCCAAAATATATTTTAATATCTCCATGCTAAAACTATCCTTCTAGTAAAGTCAGTAATGTTTGATAATAAAAATATTAATACACAAATAATAGTATTTACTATCACTGTCAGTAACAATTAATAGCTCTTGATAGCATAGTTAGATTATAATCAGTGCACTACAGCAGATTAAAAATGCTAATCTATCAAAGTATAAAATTGCCAAATTCAAATGAGGTAAGCAAAGGCACACTTGAATTGATAAGATCCGCTTCATTGTAGATTTTCACATAGCCTAACTCAGCCATCACATCACTACACAAATGCTGTACATGTAGAACCTCCTCTAATGAGAGTGAAGAACGCCAACTTGTAGCGGTATACGAAGAATTTCTTGACGTACTAAAAAGTGTTGGCTTTTTGCTAATCTGGGAATTTGTGTTACTAACAAGCCATTCTTTGACATTAGTAGGTAATGGTAAACCAATAAATTTATATATCTTTTCAGTCATTTCAAGAGGGTTTACTGAGAAGTCCTCATAGCGAAGAATCTTATAACGCCCTTCTAACCATTTTGGTCGCTTGATTGCATAGGATAACGTATTTCGCATCCATTGACAAAGTTGTGGAATTGTGTTCATCCTGCGGGGATTATTTTCTATTAGTAAACCCATTTTACCTAATGTGGGCAGAGATCCATTCAGTCGGAGAGCTTTTTTCCCATAATAGGACCTTCGTGAATTTGCAGTGCCTCTTGGATCACGCACCAGATGAATTATTTTAACATTTGTATGTTCCTCTTCGACTAAAGATCTCAATACTTCGATATCAGATCGTATAAATTTCATAGCGATATTCCCTCCAACTTTTGCACACGCTTTACTAAAAGAATCCGGTTCTGCTTTTTTGCACGCCGAGGACTGTTTACAAATAGGTGAAACGTCCTTACTCTTGGATCTTGCAAGTGGCCACATTGCTGTTCCATGAATAAATGATGATGGAAAAACACACTTACTGAGATCATGCAAAAGTTTAAGTGTTTCTGCTTTAAATGATGTCCACTCATTCAGCAATCCTTTACGCTTCTGCACGTCTATCCAATGAAGCGGTTCAAAAAGGTAAAATAAATTTCTGTTCTGATTCAAAATTTCGCCAATAAAAGTCGAACCAGTTCTCATTCTACCTACAAGCATTACTTTGACAGCCTTTGATTGCCGGGCAAAAGCAGACGAGAGAACTTTCTTGAACTCTTCACCGCTGGCCACATTCTTCCTTGATGTGGAGAATGTGTTACGATTAGAATACAAACGTTTTGGGTTCTTTGTGATCTCTTGAGGGATGAGATCAACATTGGTGTACATGAGCAGGATAAAAAGAATGGATCCTATCAATAACACAAGCAGTCCAGCTAGCCGCTTCATATTGCTCAACATTGGGTCAATGCGCTACATCAGCTTATTTCAAGCATAGCCGAAGTGGTATCTACAGAAAGCGAAAAGGGAAGAATTTCAGAACTGACATAATGATCAATATAATACATGATGATATAATCAACATTATGCTCAGGATTTATCACTGCTGGTTTTCAGTGAACATCCTTTAAAGCTTTTCTCCATGGTCATAAAAACAACACCAATATTTCATGGTTCAAATTGGGAAATCAGTTTATGTCCAAAAGGTCTGCAAATTTTAAGCTAATTATTATAATATTTATAATATTATAATCATTATATTAATATGTAGTCTGTATTCCAAAAACTGTGCAATTTCATGTGCAACAATAGGTAGTTTTCGCCACACGACGTTAACCTTAACAGATGACATCATAATTTATTCATCTTGCATTGCGGAGTATGTTAATTTCAGGATTTTAGGTGCTCGACGTACGTTATTTACTGGTTTGCGCATTACAACTTTACAAAAGGGGCAAAGTTATCGCATTGCTTGTTGGGTACTAACGTTAAAGTTGACATCGTGCGGCGAGAACTACCTAATACTCAAAAGAGTTTCTGCACAGTAAAGGAAGAATGATGAACTGCCACTTCACAAAAATATTCTGACTAAGTCAGTGGACTCCGGTCTTCCTTCACTGCATATGCAGACTGCAGAAAAAAATGCGAATGATGCGTTTGTGTGTAAAAGTATTACGCAAAATAGGTACAGTAGGCCTACATTTGCAGAGTTTTGATATAAAAAAAAATACAAAAACATTCTACCTGAAAAAGCAAGCAAATTTAACCATTTTTTACTTGATGCATGGTTGCACTTTAGTAAAAATGTTAAACATTTGTAATCGCATGACTATTTGAAAACAATTTTTGTTATTAACATTCATTTATTTTGGAAATATGTAATTATAATCTATTTTGAACTGAATAAATGACCATTGGTCAAGTAAAATAACGTATTATAAATTATTATAGCACCTTGACCCACAAGAATTTGCAGCATAAATGACGCCATTACTGTCTAACTACAAGCTTTCAGGAGCTGTGATATCCTTTTACAACAATAATAGCATCATTATACACTATGACAAAATGTACAATAAGAAAGAAACCCTTATATTTAAAGTAATTCTTCCACTAAGTGGGTTTATGAGACTGCAATATGGTTGAATTTATTCACCAGGAACAAAATCTGACAGGTGTATGGTGTATTACTTACAGATCATTTCTCCTTTATTAGAATTAGGCATTGGAGCATCAAAATACTGAATGAATTAGATTCGGTACCAACAGTAATTTGAGTCTCCTACTTTTTATAACCTTTTTAAAACAAATTCTTCATAATATATTGCTCAAAAAGTCTGCACAAAAAAAAAATTAAAAAAAATATAGAATTTACAGGTGTGTTAATACAGTAAATAACTAAACAAATGCTGCGGCACTCAATGCTTTGGAAGGCCTCAGTGCAGTGCTTATTTGAGAGAGGTAGATATTTAAGAATTGAGTTTATTACAATTTAGTGTTAGTTCCCATATTGTGAGTACATTTACTAAAGTTGCTAATTTTGTTGTATCAAGTGATGTTTTGACTATCAATCTGACTTTATCATATATCTTAATAAATTTTAATAACCTACACAATGTTATTACATACTGTACATCACATATAATTTATTCATAAACGATCCTACCTATTCAAATCAATTCTACTTATTCATAATAATAAATAGACATAGGGGCCTAGGCTAGGGGTGAAAAGACCATTGGGGTGACTAGTGTCAATCAATCAAAATCACATAATTAATGGATAAAAAGGGAAAAGACAATAAAATAACATTGAACGTAAGTATTTTCCATTAATTTAGGATTGAACATACAAGAAAATTGTTTAGTCGGTAAAATAACCTTGGCTAACCACTAACTTTGTGCAAGGGATTTTAAATAAAATTATAAATTTTGGTCTCAATTTTAAATTTTAAGTTTGTGTTATTTCCCATATGCCTTAACTGCTCCAAATGTGTGGTACTGTTTAGGATATTTGCCAGTATTGAATTCCAGCTTATCTCAAAAATAAAAAAATAGTAAGAAAAAAAATAGAATAAAATGCAAACATCAACAGAAAAGTATGAAAAGAAACAAAAAACAACAGTTGGTTTGGTACTTGTGTTAATGAATGCTACTGACTGGCTTCCTTGCTTCCTCTAACAAGTCATAATGAAACTCAGTACGTCAGATCGGACATTTGCCTAGCCACTTAAAATAACAGATTGAAATTGCTCAATTACTTACTTATTGTAAATGTGTGCTGGCCTAGATGTAGGCCTAGGCCAGCCTCCCCAAACAGGATAGACAGTTTCAACATGATATTAGTAGTAGTAGGCCAAGCAGGTATATAGGCCCTCTCTACTCTAGCTAGTACTACTATAACTAGTCTACCTCTACTTTACCTACCTCCTTGTAGGCGAACACAATATGGTAACATTGTAAATTATTATTTTCAAGAAAAAAAGGATAAGAAATACTTACTTTAGGCTTATTTATACTTGTTCCATCCAGTTGCTTTACAGTTAATACGTTCTTTTTAAGGGAAGGAATTACCACCAGCAATATAACCGAGAATAAAGAAATCTGAACCATCTAGCAGTGTAACCTTTGACCTCAAATAAATAATAAATTGAGTTCGTTTGGCTTATCTATTTTTCATCAGTTACGCATTTTGATTTCCTGCTGTTGACGCGATGTATGGGGCTAGGCTTAAAATAAGGCCCCGAGAAAATAGATGAATTATAATAAATAATTTAAATAATTATATAATAGGCCTATCTATATGATTCATATAGCGGCTCATGAAGCTTCTCTAACAGGCAAAAACCCACATCAAACTTTTTAAAAATTAGAGACGAAATATAAAGGTATCTGCCTGACAAAACATACGGAAGAAAGCTTCAATTCAATTGAAGATTTGAAAAAAATTGTACGTCTAATATATCCGAAAGACGGTGCGCTATCGTAACTTGCATGTCAGCCCTTCAGCTGAAACACAAGGAGGGCAGCGATGCAATACAACCGGGGACCTAGCTCACACACAGTTCAGCTGCTCTCTCGATCGCACCCATTGTTAAAAAAAATAATTGTTGTATTGTATTGTTGATATATTATTGTTATCATTGAAAATAGTACAGGTAAGATTTTAAAAGTATGAGAGTGCACCGGGCAACTTGAGGTCCATATCCTAAAAATGTTCTCACCTCAGCCCTAATCATCGCCAAATCCTGCATCCGCCTTTAAGACCGTACTTACATAGACCATGGAGTTTATATGCATAGACCGTGTCCAAAATCATTGAACAATACTCGACGTGTACAAAATTGGATTGAACATATACATATAAACTGTCTAAAATAAAGTGGAAGCGTAAATTATGTAGCTCGCATGGACTCTAACTGGGAAAGTAAACAGTATGAACGCCATCGGAAACAAAAGAAAGAGAGGAACAAGACCCGTAGGCAGGATTTTCGACGAGGTGCGTTTCGCGATAATTAGGAACGATTTTAGTGAAATAATAGGTTTTAAAAAGTGGACTTTCTGAAATTTGGTGGTCCAAGGGCAGAGGCCTGGAGGGGGTTTGTGAGAAAAGCGACAAAGTAGCATTTTGAGGGTCTTACATAATAGATTTCTCAAACATATAATTCATGAATATTTCATTAAAATTTTCATTAATTTGGGTGTTTTTGGGACCTGGAAAAGTAACGTTATTATGTCCTGTACATCTGCAGGCCTATAGATAACATTCTTCATATTATATAGATCAATCTCCAATCAATTTCTAACAAATTTCGTACCACATTATTAAAAATCAACGGTTAAATAAGCTGGCAAATATAATGCAATGCATGCTACTGTATAGCATTTTGTGATACAGGTTAGGAACGATTTTGTGAAATCATTGATATTAAAAAATGGACCTTTTGGAATTTGGGGGGTGGGGGGTGTGCGTCCGCAACCTCTGAAACCCCCCCCCCTCCCCCTGCATACGGGCCTGTGTTATGCGTCAGAATTAAAACTGCATTTGGGGCTTGGAGAAAAGCTCGACCCTGAATCAAAGCGTCTTAGAACTTATGGAGCCTCATATCAGCGGTGGCTCCAGAAATTTGCAGACAAGAGGTCCGACATATCCGACGGGGTGGCGGAGTCCAGTGGTTGACTAGAGCCACGGGCCGACCCGGAATACAAAAATCCCTGGTAGAGTTAGACCACAATATTAGGGTGAACATTGGAATTTGGTGGGGGGTGCGTCCGCACCCTCTGCATCCCCCCCCCCACCCTTGCCTACGGGCCTGGGAACTAACAGGAAATAAAGCGATCCTCCAGGAGAACTGGCAAATCTGGCACGAGTAGTCCAGAATGGAGTTTGAGAAGGTCATGCAAGGCCGCTGATGATGATACATTAATAAATTATAACGTGTTACATATATTTCGAAGGAATGAAATAATTTCATATGTTTTATATTTCCATATATAAAAATATTTGATTATTTTGGTAGAAAAATTATGACCTTGAACAAAGGAGCAGAACTAAAACAAATAAAATACTTTATTTTAACACCGCCTATTTGAATCACCATTGATGATTCAAGATTTAAGAAACGTTATTGTCTGTAACACATAATATGATATACACAGAAAATTGAAAAGAAATTGAAAATTGAATTAGGCCTACTCGGGCAAGATTTAAAGTTTGGAAGAAATTCACCTATGCACCACGTTCGCGTTCAATGCCAATTTTAGAGATTCAAAAGTGGTGAGAATATACAGATCAGGTCCATGGACAGATCAATATCTTTAAAAATAAAATGAACTTTATACCAATTCCAATGAATTGTTCAATCATAATTGTGATTAAACAGGTGTAACAATCGTATTTTGTGTTTTTGTATCACTGTGTGCTTTTTTTTATACTACTGCATAGTCCTTGGCTACTCAAATTCCCGATCAAATTAAACTCTATTGTGCGCATGCTCGTTCCAATAACCCATTTTGTTGAAAATTTCTTATCGAAGACATTGTAGATGGCGCGAACTTCCGAGAGACGGACTGTCGCAGTGAAATTTTGATTTTTTTTTTTTAAATACAAATGGCCCAATAGTTTTGGATGTTTGTGTGTGTTCATAGGTAAATCAGATTTTATTTTTGAATTTTATTTTATTTTTGAATTTGATGACATTCCTAGCCTAGCCTGTGCGATAGAATTATTAGCCTATCTATACGGACAGTGTACACCCAGATGTACATTCCCTCATGCTGCTGCTGCTCCGCTTCACAAAGTTTAGCCTAGGCCTACATTTTAGCAGGGAGTTGTTAATTAACAACTCCCTGATTTTAGTTAGGCCAGGGCAGGAGTTTTTCTCTATCACAACTCACTGGTTAGGCCTAGCTAGACTGTATTAGGCCTGGCGGCCTACATAAGCACACGGACTAGGGGGGCCTAGGCCAAGTCCAACCATGCTACTTAAGCCTATTGTTAGGCCATCATCCGACATCATCATACCACTGCAGGTAAGAATAAGATTCCTGGGCTGGGTGTTTACATGGTAACAGGTCAAAACGCAATACCGAAGTCGATTCCAAAATTTAAAGATCGTTCGACTTGGGCCTAGAAAAATTTGACTTAGAGATGGTTAATTAATTAATTAATAGAAAACACAATTTGGCGTATAAAATAAGATTGACGTATAAACTTAAAACTAAGATTGACGTAGAAATTATTCAAGTTATGGCGAAGTTGACTTTAGGCCTAGGCCCTAGGCAAGTTTAACTGTAAACCAAAACAGCAATAAACAAAGAGGCAACAGACCAAAACGGCAATGACAGTACCAAAAATGGCAAGCGATCACTTTAGTCAGCGAGCCTAAGCCCCCTAGAAGGCTCTCAAAATTCTTCATATTTTTAGTCTGAATGGAAATTCAAATAAAACTTCTTGTACAGTGCGAGTGCAAGCAATCATTGAAAAGAAAATGTTGAGATTTAAAGTATAATGGAGTTTAATAGATTTAACAATGTCACATTAATGAATTGAAAAAGTAGATCAATTCAAATAATCTTGGTATTGTTTTTGACAGTCATTTGAATTGAAAGAATCATATTGAGGAGAGGATCTATCTTCAAAAATCTCGAAACGTTGTGGTGCCGTGTTAAAAAAGTTTATTTACCAAATTCTGCTGTCAAAAAGCTTGGTGAGGCGCTATTATAATACCTCATTTTGATTATTGTAGTCAAATTTGGTCAAACTGTAATAACACACTTAAGTCAAAAGTATGCATATGCAGCAAAATTGATTTGCAAGAATTTTATTATCAGCCGATATTAGAACTCCAGTGGATGATATGATGATTACGTCTTCATTGGCTTAAACTAAATGGTCGATTGACAAACCAGATTTTACTTACAGTGTTTAAATTTTAAAAAAGGTAATGTCCCTGAATATCTATCTTCTAAATTCACCGCCACCCACTCTGTTCATTCTTACCCTACTAGGAATCAAATATCAAATACTCTCGTTGTTCCACATGCAAATTCAAACAGTGGTGAGCGTACATTTCATACCAGAGCTGCTCATCTTTGGAACAATCTTTCTCACAACATTCGTACAATTTTGATTTTCTTTCTGTTAAAAAAAGAGGCCTTTATCTGTATTCTGTAATACTGTACCTTTCCTTTTGTTTAAATTAACTTGTGTTTTTTATTTTGGTTTGGTAGTTTTCATTTGGCTTCCTTAATTTAAGGTTTAGGTTTAAATATTTTTTATCATTGTTTTTGATTTACATTTAGTTTCTTTTGAATATTAGGATTGTAAACATTTTTTGTTATATTTACTGTATGTACCAGTTCTAGTCACTGAATGGATACCCCTGGTTAAAGGAAGCTTTAAAAAATAATAATAAATAAAAATAATCCGCCATGCAAAAAATTGGCCTAGAAATATGTTCGTCAGCACATATTAGAAAAAATAAGGGACGATTTCTGCGCAGATTTTGCTGAAATTAGGTTTTGATAAAATCCTAAAATATAGCCCAATGCAATTATGCAGCCATTACGATTCCATGCACCTATTTTCCTAGCAAATTTCTGTGCAAATTTGAGCTAATTTTTTAGACATCCTTTGCGCAATTAAAGAACTTTGCAGTATGGAGTAGTTAGGGCCTAGGCCTATATTTTAGGTTCCAGGGAGCCCGTAGTACAATTGACAAAGTGCATAGTTTGTCTCACTTGAATGGGAACAAATACAATAATAAGTTTGTTTCTACATTTGCAATAGGTGCTGTATATTGATATTTAGTAGCAGCAAGTTATCATAAAACTATGGATGCGTTTTTGAAGACAAAGAGTGGATTGCCGTTCCAAAGACCAAAAAAGAAAGATGGAGAGGGGAGTAGTGGGAAAAAGAAAAACCCGGCACTGTAGGCTACAATTGTCATTTTTTATATTAATGTAAAGCGTGCCACAGGTGATTCATACAGCGATGCCATATGAAAGGGATCCATACAGCGATGCCGGATGAAGGGGATCCATACAGTGGTGTCGGATAAAGGGATCCATACAGCGATGCCGGATGAAGGGGATCCATACAGTGGTGTCGGATAAAGGGATCCATACAGTGATGCCGTATGAAAGGGATCCATACGGCGATGCCGGATGAAGGGGATCCATACAGTGGTGTCGGATAAAGGGATCCATACAGTGATGCCGGATGAAAGGGATCCATACAGTGATGCCAGATGAAAGGGATCCATACAGCGATGCCATATGAAAGGGATCCATACAGTGATGTCTGATGATGGTGATCCATACAGTGGTGATGGATGATCTTTTTAACGATGCCTGATCCATGTAGTGGTGCCAGATAAGGGTGTTCCATTACCGATGGTAGATAATAAGATATAATTTGTTAACAAGCAAGCAAGATTAAAATAAACGACCTACTATACACAATGAGGCATACCAGCACATTTTGATCTGTTATGTTATGTTTTGATCAGTCTGTTATGATCTGCTTGCAACGCTTTTTTCATCCCAATGCAGACGATGGTAAATTTATAATTATATTTCAGTTTGATATTTCAATATTCTTTTACAGCCGCCCTAAAACAGTTGATGAAGTTGCTTTCCAGGATGAAGTTGTAGCCGTCTTGAAGAAATCTCTAGAGGGCGCTGATGTAAGATGATTTTCTTTTATCTTTTTCTGGTAATAATAGATGGACAAATTTAACATAAACATACATGTTGAATTTCAGGTTGGCAATGTGTTGTTCATTTATATTTTAAAGTTTCAATTAATTCAACATCTAGGTCTTTATGTTTAGTGTACAATAGTTTGATTTGTGTAGTATAATACTATACATTCTATAAATTTTATTAATATCTATAGGGGAGTTGTTTATATGGGTTTATACCCGCTCGGCAACCCTTGCTAGTTTTGTGATGTTTGTTTCATTTACTTTATTGGATTGTGTATGTCATCCATGTTGCAAGTAAAATAGATTTGATTTGTTATCTTCTATAGTGGAATGGTAGGACTAGCTGTCTCTAGTTGTTATTGAAAAAAACATAATGTTATCTTTATGTGTAATTTATAGTATAAAAATATATAACTCTGAGCAATATCTTCCTAGTTATTTTTTATTTTTGTCCCATGATCCATCATCTAACAATATGTAAATTAAAACTAATTTACATGTTTTTTAGATTCAGAAAGTAACTGAAGTAATCATAAATCGTTTTTGTTTTAACTACTGTTGCGTTTGTTTTTGCCAGCTGCCTAACCTTCTGTTCTACGGCCCACCTGGTACAGGAAAAACATCAACAATTCTAGCCATTGCAAGAGAACTTTTTAGGTAAGAATTAAACATTGTTAATTCTGCTGTGCCCCTGAACAAGGCACGATAATAGTAATATTTTAAGTTTTTAAACATTTTCATGGATTTATGTGGTGTAAACAAACAAAAGTATAACCCACGAAGGTCTTAAGAAGACTTTTTTTCCAGTGGGGTCCATCTGGGTTCTGCGTTCTTTAACATGCACATGGACCATAATGCACATGGAACCAATGGCTTAAAAGACTCGTCCGAATGACGGTGTGGTATCGTAACTTGAATTTCAGCCCTCCAGCTGAAACACAAGGAGAGCAGAGATGCACAGTTAAGTGGACACACAGTGGCTGCTACCAGTTTGGCTGCCTGAGCTAAGCTGCTCATGACCTCTATGCACTAATCACATTAATGGACCATACCGTAACATTGCTGCAGTAATTAGTGCCTTGGTGTTTAAACCTACAGTGTACCCACTTATAATTCTGGGTGTTGGTAAAGTGCCTTGTGAAATTCAGAGCGAAGATTTGAACCTCCAACCTAAAGGCAGACCTCCCAGTTTTTCCCAGAAAATATAAAATTTTCATTGTGAATATTAAAATGGCCCCCTAAGTGTATATATAAAAAAATTAAATTAAACATTTTTTTCTTTCAAATAGTATGTTACTTACAATTTAAACAACTCCATGTCATTTGCTTTACCACTCAAGTTCAACAAAACCTGAGTGACTTATTTTGCCTATTGTTTGCCACTTACAAAAAATGAACTACTTTTCAGTTAAATATTTGTAATGGTTTTAGTAAAGGTATGACTGAAGTTTAATTAACATAAGTATAGTTAATAAACCAAAAAATACCCAGAAATTTCACTTCAATAAACAACAAGTTATCCAGAAATTTCACTTCACCAACTTTGAACCTCTGTCAAGGTTGGAGCTCATATCTGAACTAGTGCTGTAACAACTCCCAACCATTTGTAGGTTAATATCTCCATATGTGGCAAAGACCAGCCAAACCAGTCACTTGTCACAAATCCTGTTTCAGAGATAATGGGTAAAACATGATGGAATCTATTGCACTAAACTAACCTTTATATATCTATACATCATATATCTATACATCATGCTATGTTATTATTTTCTCCATTTTCAATGTTAAAACAACAATTTTTAACAATTTGGTGATGGTTTCTGCCTGATACACGCCTGAAATCGTAAATTTTGAAGATGATTTCTCAAATACTGTTCTTTAAACAGCTGTTTGATTAAACTCTTGTAACTTCATAAAGAAATGTCCGATTTAAATGATTCTTTTACCATTTTATAGCTCTCTTTATTAATAACTAAAAATCAATTTTTGCAAGGAGTGACTTTTTTGGCTTGTCTTCCACATATTAAGGACCGCACTAGAAAAAGTTTTTTGACTATTAGAGGATAAATCATTATGTGAATAATTTTAAATAGTTTTCTTGCAGCTTACAATTTGAATTGAAGAAATAAAAAAACTACTATGTTTGATTTATTTTACAGTGCTGACATGTTCAGATCCAGGGTGCTTGAACTAAATGCATCGGATGAAAGAGGAATCGGCGTCGTTCGTGACAAGGTTAAAAACTTTGCACAGCAGACAGCCAACACCACAAAACCAGAGTAAGAAGATTGAATTTTATTGAGTCTTAAAAACTACAATTATTAAATATATATAATAAGTAACTATTATCTAATGATGATTTAAACTGGATGACTGTTTTGTTTTTCTTTTTACCTTTTAGTGGAACACCTTGTCCGCCATTTAAGATTATAATTCTAGATGAGGCAGATTCAATGACCAAACATGCACAGGTAATATCATAACATGGACCTTTCAGCTAAATTCCACGTCTTGGATATTGTTCCTAAGTTGTGGAATCTTAAAGAAAATTTGAATAACACATTCTGATTGGTCAGTTGTGAAATTTGATGTTCACTCCTGAAAGATCCATTCTAGATGAGGAAGGTGATAATTTATGGCGAGTTGGATGGCCGAGCAGTTAAGTCATGGGTGCTGCAACGTGCAGCTATAATATTGGTGCTGGTTTGAAGGGCATGCTTGCCTATACTATGGTTCTGGTGGTGAAACGAGTCTTCTCGGTTAAGGACTATAAACCGTAGGCCCAGTGTACATAATTTGGCTAGTGCGCTTTAAAGAAACCAGTACATATTTCAAGACGAATAGGAGGTGACCCCGGTGTACTGGTCCTTTCAGCCCCTGCTGTTTTACAGACGATAATAGCTCAGACACAGAGACACTTAGTGGAGAAGTGCATTACTATAAGAGCCAGTCCACACCTCGGGCGCTTTAAGACCCTTTCAGTGTACGATGAAGATATTTATAAGCATTTCTGTATTTGTTATGATTTTTTAATTTTGGGTGAAGTTCAACTTTGTACCATTGTGAGTTTCAAATGAATTTCTGTTATTTTTAATGGCCAACCAAGATATTATTTATCCGAACTAACAATTATTGGTACCACCTTCAGCCCAATATTATTGGATTTAGTTCATGTTAAGGCCCTATAATGAATGATCAGATCACTTGTGGGTTCCAGGATGTCTCAACAAATACTGGCTCTTGCCTGTGTATTCCCAAAAGTTTTTTTTACACCAGTTCTATTGGTTGCACCATATAATATGATTTTTAAGTTAATCCTGGCCTAAATAAACCTTTTTACTCACCTTTCAGGCTGCACTTAGACGAACAATGGAAACACAGAGTAAAACTACAAGGTTCTGTCTCATTTGCAATTACATTAGCAGGTATGTAAATAATTATTTCTTGTACTATTACTTGTTACTGAAAAAAAATAACATGTAATACAAGTATAACATGTGGCTTGTGCACTTGTTACAGAATGCAGCTTAATTTTTACTGTGGCATTGCATGTACCTTTACTATCTGCCTATCAGTATCAATTTTACTGACATAGATAGCTTTTTATTCACTCGAGTTGTGACAACAGTATATTTGTACTGAATGTACTGAGTATTCGGTACATTTCCACTTCAGGTAGGGCAAAATTACACCTATACATATTTCTCCTGACGCAAATCCAGTTATTGTCTATTATTCCATCACGACAATAACAATTACTAATCTCAAAGCATTTAGCACATGTCTTGTTTAACATCTAGCTTCATGAACGGGTATTGGTGGAATTGAATCATTTTAATTCTGGGGCATTATGTTCATAATCTATGACTAACAACAACTCCACTTTGTAATTAAATGTTAATCATAGCGCATTTTCTATCAATTGGTTTGTGGGATTAGTTGCAGGTAAATGAGTTTTTATTTAATTATTATTTACTTATTATTGTAATTTAAAGGATTTTTGTTTAAAACGATTAATTTTAATGTTCCACCTTGGCAGAATCATTGCACCCATCACGTCACGTTGTGCAAAATTCCGCTTCAAGCCTCTTGGAGAAAAACACCAGAAAGCAACGCTTACCAACATTGGACTAAAGGAAAATGTAAAGTGTAGTGAGCAGGTAAGGCTGTATATTCAATTCAGTGAAATTCTTTATTGCTGCAAGAGTTATCCTAAGCTTATATCTCATCTCACTTTATTCATATAAAAAACATCAATATAAAAATCGGTCACAAGTCGCGGCTCAAAAGTCAAATTGTATGTGAGCCTTACAATATCAGTAATAATTAGGACAATATATACAAAAAAATAACTAAAAATATAAAATCTAAGAATTGACAATGTATACAGTAATTAATTATGAATATAAAAATTGAGACAATATATACAGTAATTATTAATATCTGCCAAAACAAATACAATTACAAATTCTTATTTTACATGCCAAATTGTTGTTTTCTATGAATTAGCGATCTGTAAGTAAAATTAATAATAGCGTGTAGCAATTGTACTGTATGGAAACTGAGCTTAAGACCTTCCACTATAAATGAAACAACTATATCTAAAGCTGGGCAGGCTGGCCGACGAATTCAACTCCGCTTAATGTGAGCGTTAGGCAACGCTGTTAGCTGATGACCTTCTGCCGCAATGAGTGCCTGCCTTTAAATATAAGCCAATGATGGCCCAATACTAAAGGCCTCCCTTTAGCAGTGTGAACTATGCAGATCTATTCTATGTTGTGCTGTTAAACATAATTTTTTCCATTCATCCTAGCCTTTCCTTAAAACCCTGTACAGATTATCAAATTTTATTTGATGAAACATGCCTGAATATGGTCATGTGTGTATATAACATTTTTTGGTCCAAGGATATCTGATAATCTAGAAAGAGTGTAAGACCTTGCTGTTTGGTTTCCATAACTATTAGTATTTTAAAATATCTGCTTCAAATGTATTTCTCTTAACCTAATGGTTTGGGGTTTGTTTTCAAGGCATTTTCAGCAATCATCCAAGTGACAGAGGGCGATCTTCGAAAAGCAGTCACTCTATTTCAAAGTGCACATCGACTCAAAGGTGATGAAGGCATCACAGAGAGTGATATCCAAGAAATTGCAGGAGTAAGTTTATAGGTTGAAGCTCCTGGTTCTTAAATTGAAACTATTGTGTCACAACACAAAATGTGGATCACCAAAACTTTTCTGAGGGTTCTGAGAATTAAAGAGAACTTTAGATAGGGTTATGTTTATTTAAACATTTTTCCACAAATTCCAAGTTAACATCTCAGGCTCTCTTGGGGGTCAGGAAAATCCTCTCCCAAAAGTTAGCTTATAAAATAAGAGCATTGAGACATTTGTGTAATGTGTTCTACAAGCAGATTTATTATTAGAAGTGCATCAGTTGTAGCTTGGGCTCCCAACCTTGAGGTCAGGGGTTCAAAACTCTACTGTGCAAGTCGCATGTGTCCTTGGGCAAGAGACTTTATATACGTTTGTCTCTCTACTGGAGAGTATAAATGGGTACCTGGTAGGATGTTGTGGCATTGAATGTACTAGTTTCGTGCACTAAAGAAGTAGCAAACGAATAGGTATACTCCCCAAGGAGCAAAGCAGGTTGCACTCTGTGCTGGTTTGTCATTGTGTGTTATCCAGTGGCCAGGGGTACTATTCTCATCTTTGATCATTCAGTTTGGTATTGGCGCTATATAAATATTTGGGTAGTATTATTAAACGGAAATATATTCAGTTTAAGTAGTCCTCAAGGCTCAAATCAGTTAAATATTTATATATAATATTTTTGGCAACCCAGTGTGTTTCATCCACATGCTTGAGATAAACAGCTCAACTTGCAAAGTTTGTAACCAATAAATTGGTCAGAGTGCTCATATTTTATGGCTAGTGTATATGTATGTATGTAGTGAAAAAAATAACTCTGGCTTTATTCTGCCGTTTGTGTCAAGCATGTCTGCTGAGAGCTGTTTTTAGCTTAGAATGAGCTAACTTCTTGCGTGGTTTTTCCATTTCATAAATGTACTGTAATTCCACTATGTGTATTGTCATTGCACTTGCATTTAATAAGAAACGTCCACTGAATTGAAGAAAACGTCTTAACAAGTTTACGTACATTTGCATTTCAGTCAGTTCCTTCCTCTGTTGTATCAGAACTCATCAAGACCTGTCATTCTAACTCATTTGAGAAGCTGGATCAAGCAGTGACAGAAGTGCTTGCTGAGGGCTATGCAGCCAGCCAGATGATTTTACAAGTAAGTTGACTAGAAAATGCTTTCAGCTAGGCTTTGCTGTAAATAACATCCTAAGCTAAACTCAATAATTAATAGTGGTGGTGACAGGATTTGCCCAGCAGGGCTGCGATGCCCCCGGTGGGAAAGTCTTGGCAGGGGAGGGGGAATTTTCTTGACGAGAGTTTAAGTGGGTGTTGTCAGGAGTTGCTCACAACTCTTCAGGGGGTATAGCAATTTAGGGGTTGGAAAGGCTTATTTAATCCATCTTGACAATCTATAAAAAAAAAAAATCTATAAAATTTGTTCTCTCCCTGAGAATGAACAAACCAGCTTTCCATGGCGGCAGGCCTGGACCCTCAGCTCCCACTGGTGCTACACCCCTGTACAAAACAAACTACTGTATGTAAATATATTCTGTGTTATTTTATATAATTAAAATACGTTATATGTTTATTTTTAGATTCATGAAATAATAGTGAACCAGCCAGACTTGACAGACAACCAGAAGTCCAAGATATGCGAACGACTCGCAATTGTTGACAAGCGACTGATAGATGGGGCAGATGAGTACCTACAGATAATGGACCTACTCACAGTGATCATGAACCAGTACTGTACAGCATGAAGCTTCAGTCTCTGCTACAACAAATTTAGGCCATAAATGTATATTTGAATTAGGCAAGACTTCTTTCGCAAACCTCTTGTGCAACGATAATTATTATTTAAAATCAAATTATTGTTGGCCTGGTAGCTTCTGGTTTCATCATAAAATGGAAATTTTAGAGGGAAAAAAATCACCATAGTTAGGGCTAAGGTGAGCAAATTGTAAGGACATGCAGATGTTTTTAAGAAATGGCAATTTCATACTTCACAAATATTTTTCATTGTGTCTGTGAAATTAAATTATCAAAACTATTTTCACACTACTGTACTAACGCTTACACAGAAGTACACTAAACAAACTACTTACATGGGATTCTGTATAAATTGTTATTTTCTTTGTAATAAAAATTGAAAATAATGGAACAATGTATATTGAGTTTTCTGTTTGTATAATATGAATCCATACCACTGGAGCAATAGCCAGACATTTGTCAGTTAGGGGAATTTTTTTTAATGTCTGTTTTGGAAATTTTACAAGTTGATCATTTTAATCAATTATTGGAGTCAAGAAAAGAGCGTAAACGTCGCGGCCCTATTCTTACCAATCCTTTTACCACTATACACGAGAACTGTATCATTGATTTTTATAACCAAATCAACTACAGAATTGTATGTATGGACTCGATAAAAGAATCAAATATTTCCGAAATTTCAGACCAAATTTTGATATTTATGGACCATGTTCCATGTACAGTATATCGGCGGAAGAAGCAAATCATTTCATCGGGGAACACTGCTTTGAGTACCATTCCTAGGCATCTAGATGTGCCTTCTTCAAACATGGGAGAAGGGAGGGGGGGGGGCAGTGGTTTAAGCTGGATGTGGACTTTTGAGCAATCTGTCATTACCACTGGTTGACTTTCCTCCATGGTTGGGGTTTCCTTGTACACAAGCAATTGCACCGCAATCATGTCATGTTCCTATACTGTATTTGCTTCGTGATATGATTTTAGGCATGGAGTTGACCCAGAAACAGCAAGTGGAATGATGCAGTGTCGGTCTTGAAGGTTGGCATGGCCAGTTGACAATAATTGTATGCTTTCCGTACACCATGTGGCATATGCTACAAATCTCAATTGAGAAGAACCATTTGAATTGTAATTACCAGGTAGCACAGACATGAAGGGACCCTTCCACACATCAAGTGCAGCATCTTGCAGGTAGATTTAGGGGGCTGGTTAAAAAAAAATTTTGATCGCCGAAAATGCATCAGAGGTTACTTTCGGGTCTAGAACCCCCACCCCTAGGGTAGTGTTATCTCAATCAGGGCCCCTTTCAAACATCAATGAATCCGCCAACCCCCGTCTTGTTTGATTTAATACTGGTGCTATACAAATCCACACTTATTGTATAATACAATTACAATAGATAAAAGTCTTACAGTGGAGCATAATTAAGCTGATAGAGATTAAAACTTTAATCATTTTGGAAGCAAAATAATACCTGTACATTTAGAATTAAAGTTGTATTACTGTAGTTTTCTGTACAAAAACAAGCAAAAATGTCTATAAATGACCTCTATAAATGTTCTTCGTTTTCTGTATCCAGAAAGTTCCTTTTATTTTCATTTTTAAATTGACTTTTTTGTACCTTGTTTCATTTTTTTAAAGATCTTATTTAGCAAATAGTTTTGTAAAAAACATCCAGACTGAGAAAATAAAATTTTATTGTGTGAATTTAAATAGGATGGTTAAAAGGTTTATATTTATATAATTGTGAAAAATATACTGCAAATACAGTATCTAAATTTTGGAAATTTCAAGGCAGTGACGGGCACAATAAAAAAAAAAAAAAAAAAAGTTTATTTATTACGCTTCATCACTGCACAAAGAGAAAAATAAATGACACAATAAGATAGAAAAAGCAGCGAAAAGGAAGGTTTTTATTTTTTCCATTATTTTCGTGGCTAATTGGCCAAAAATAAAATTTTATGTTTATTCAAATTTATTATTGGCAGGCAGTGGGTTCACTAAATAAGGTACAAAAGTCTCACCTAAGCAAATAGGTTAGCATATTAGTTTTTATCAAAAACATTGTTTGAAGTGCTAAGTGAGATTAGCAAAAATAATTCTCAAATTTAGTTCTGTTAATAAATTCATTGAATTATATGAAATCCAATGATTCAAAAACAAAAATATTAAAATAATAATAATTCAAAGAAGACTTGAGGGCTAGGTTTACTGCATGTATTGTCACACCAGTGCTTTCATAGCAGCTAACAACATTAACCAGAGCTTCTCCTTCTGCTTAATGCTATTATTGAGGTGTACTAAACCATGTTCCAGATACATTTTATATACAGTAATTAAGGTAATTACATTTTCATTTGGGCTGCACGAAGTATTTCCTATTCCATGTCAACATACAGAAAAGGTGTAACAACCAGCAGTGGCTCCAGAAATTTGCCGACAACAGATCTGAATCATGGGGCTGCCTAGAGCCTCGGTTCTGGTCTTGGAATAAAAAAAATCCTTGGCTTATTATAGTCAAAATTGTGCTTTAGGCCACATTGTTCCCAGGTGTGTTGGAGGTGAATAGTGCAACATTTGTAATGGTGGTTTTGATCAATCGGTTGCTAGATCCCTTTTCTGTTGCGGTTGTTGCTTCATTTTTACCATCTTTATATGGCCATCTTTACAGCTGTTCATCATTCTTCCCATGAAATGTATGCTAATTGAAATGTTGGGAAATAATTATCCCCATCCATCTCGAATGATGTGCTGGTTCTTTATAGTGCACACAAGCCATTGTCTACGTTACAGTCCTTGTCCAAAACAACTTGTTCTTTAACATACTTACAGAGCTTGACCCTTCCAGCACATTTTAGATCAGCTGATATTCAGGGATCCTCTTAAATAAATGAAATAATGTGTGGCTTGGAGAGTGGAGTTGATTTTGGTTTTGCATATTAGAAAGAAAGCATCTTAACTGCACTCCTACCACCATGCACTCCTATTACTAGAACCATGTACGAGCCTGCTCCTCAAACCAGCATCGATATTATAACTGTAGGTTGCAGTGCCACTGCCTTAACCACTCGGCCAAGTGATGTGTCTATTGAATTTGCATTCCAGCAGCACAGTAAACATTAATCTGCTCTACAGGCCGACAATTGAGTATGCATTTTGTACACAATGGGTGAAAATAAAGTAATTGTTTATCCAACTATCAAAAACTTGGTTAAGAATTACTGATTATTCTTTATTTCCTATTTGACAAGGCATCAACACAAGAATCAAGCACCACAGCTTTGTTGCACAAAAAAGACTGGGATGCACGTTTTTAATTTAATTCTGAAATATGTAAATCGTTTCAGTTTCTTAGAGTCGTGGAATATATCGAAAACAAAATGGAAAAAAACCTCTGTGTCCAGCCTAGCCATTACTTTTCTAGGCCAAAATGGGATATGCTTATCCATATTCTTACAATTACAATAACAAATAAATGTACACGTTTTGCCTTGATTAAAGACACTGAACACGAAAAAGTTCATTTGGCTTTTTCTTGTGCTAATTTTTGATTATTTCAAGAGGAAGCAGATATTCCCTCCTTTCTAAAATCTATGAGCGTTTATATCCAATTAACATTTAAATATGCGTGGTAGATCACAAAATCTCCTTTCAACACTATACTACAACGTCGTTTTATATATAATTTTTTTTAAACTTAACTACGTTTGTGCAGCTGCAAGGATCACCCCCTGCCCCACACAAGGTGGCTGTACTCAAAGTTCCTCTTGTCAACGAGATATTTGTCTGGAAGATAATGTTACCCACAATGGATATATACTTAGAAATTGTTCAATTAAATGATAAACAATCGATCATATCAGAGCGCCATCAATTTGTCTCGTGTAAAGCAGAAGTAGAGCAAAATCCTCGCAACGTTTTTATATCTCCTCAAACAAAATCGAACAAATATCGAGCCACAGAATTCACTATAATTCTAAATCAGATCGGCAACGTTCATGGGCATTTCATCAACCTGAGTGTTATAGAATTGCTCAATATCGGTCATCATACGTTTATGTTCGTCGGTAACAAAATTTATAGCAACACCTTTGCGACCAAATCGACCACCTCGCCCGATCCTGCAAAAAAATGAAAAAAAAAATTGTCTATCACTAACACAGATACCAATACTTTTTTCTTCACAAAATAACGACAAATACATTAATCCACAGAATTCAGCTTGAACTAGAGCAGTCACTCGAAAGAGTGCATACCTCCGCCCTGTGACTGAATAAACCAAATTTCTGTGACTTTAAATCACCTCTTAGATTTTTATGTACCATTCCACTACATTTTATGATTCATTCCTTAGTTTTTGCGTAATCTTGCTGACAGACGGGGTGAATACCAAACCTCCACTAATACATAATGACAGATGTTCCCTTAAAAAGATGTGATGAAATACAATTCAGAATAACAATGAGAAACATACCTATGGATGTAGCTCTCCCTGTTTGTAGGGATATCATAATTTATAACAAGTGATACTTGTTGAACGTCAATTCCACGAGCAAGAAGATCAGTGGTAATCAGAACTCTGCTAGACCCAGAGCGGAATTCCTTCATAATTACATCACGCTCCTTCTGGTCCATGTCTCCATGCTGTAAAGAAAGCAGCATATGAAACGCAATAAGCCAATCATCCCCATTTTTTAATGAAATTTTTAAAGGTAAGGTAAAACTTGGTATTGAAAGTTAAAGCTCGCAACGATTTCAAATACATTACAATATATTAACCAACATTCCATAAAAATTTATACAAAAATTCATTAAAAAAAAAAGAAAATTACATAAAAATTCACCAAAAGTCATGCATTTTATTTTATTGTATATTTAGGCACACAGCACATGCCAATTACGAATATCACTGTCTTGTTTATAGGCGACAATTCCTTACACAAAACAAACATACACACATGATGCCTTACACAAACTAAATCTCAATATGAGATTTAGGGAGTGGAGTTATTCTGGTCATGAAAAAAATTCCTGCAACACTGACAGGAATTGAACCCAGAACCCTGGGATCTGAAGGCAAGCATCTTAAACCACCTAGCTCCTAGCTATTCAACTCCACACAATATTATCACATCACTGCAGCAAAAAGCCATGTTCTCATTGGCATCAGAGCCACTAGACAGTGACTTACTTCACTTTTTAGCAATTATGTCAAGCCAATTCAGTTATTATCTTCTGTCATTATGTTATCAGAAAAGAATTGTGTAATTGTCCATCACATGGTTTGACTCCTCAGTGACCGCTGCATAACAGCTCTGAGAAAGCGCAGGAATATGCGATGGCTTGTCCACACCAATGCTTAGCACTGGGGACAAAGTTGCTTTCCAACAGAGTGTATGGGAATGTACCTCATTGCTGTTAAGCTGAGCTCCCATGAACCACAAAGACAGAGCCATGTGAAGGCCAGTTCACTGGATGTCAATGTTGGGCAAGTAAAAATGTCATGCTTACTTATACATGCTGGGATAAAATCTGCCAGTCACCCCACTCTCCTCCCCCCCCCCCAAAAAAAAGTTCATTGTAATACCAGCAAATTTATTAATTGTCTACAGGAATATTATACTTTTGCAAGGAAAATATTCCTGTAATTTCTAATTTAAAGACTAGTGTTTCTGCATTTTGAATGCCTCAAGAATATTTTCAAAATGCACAAAACATATGTTGTGAGGGGTTGACAGTGTGAAATGTACACATACCATCATTGACACAGTAAAGTCCCTGGCTTTCATTTTTCCAGCCAGCCAATCCACTTTCCTTCTTGTATTGCAAAATATCACAGCTTGGGTAATGGTGAGGGTCTCGTACAGATCACATAGCGTATCCAACTTCCACTCCTACAAAACAATATATCATTAAATAGTATATATATAGTGTGATAGTGTGTATTATATGCACATATATCATGTGCATATTAATTGTATATCACAATATAAAAGTTTAATCCTGTTAATTCCAAAGTTAATTAAAGTGGGGCTTGCAACCTAGACTACTGTTTAGCTAAATAGTGTACAATAATATTTAGTGTTGGAGACATTTCTATACAGTAAAACCCCTCTTCGGGACAACTTTTTGGTCGCAAGGAAGGGAAATTACATATTTCAAAACTACGAATGTATTCAAGGGACATCTGTAACATGTGGACAATTTTGTTGCTCCACATTGTTCCCTAAATAGGGGTTCTACTGTATTTAATACATATTTTATCACCAATAATAAATCCTGCCTTAAATTGTGTATAAAATGGGGAAAGACATATCATTCTGGACATTCAAAAAATCTTAGATTGTAGGTTTGTGGATTGAGGTAGATATACCACTTATTCTGGCACCACCTCACCCATTGAACAAAACAAGAGTTATTCTCCTTCTCCTTGACGTCCCTGATTTCACTGCCATGTAGCTCATGCAGGGTGCTTTTTGAAGAAGTACACATACACATTAATTTACAAGTTAATCATCACTGGTTGCTAATCATACCATTCATTGAATAGCCTAATAATTCTGTACACTTTTTAGTTGTCTAATGCACTAACCTCTTTCTCAACGCTGACATAAAATTGCTTGATTCCCTCTAGGGTCAGCTCTTCTTTCTTCACCAGGATCCTGATTGGATTGCGCATAAATCTGGTTGTCACATCCAGTACCTCAGTGGGCATTGTTGCTGACAGCAGCACAACTTGTAACTGCGCATTTGGCAGCAGCCTGAATACATCATAAATCTGGTCTTTGAAGCCACGCGACAACATTTCATCAGCTTCATCCAAGACAAACATCTTAATACGCCTGGGATCTTTTTTTGATTAAAAAACACCACAATCTTAACTAATTTTGAATCATTGGTAATATGCAAAATATAGAAAATTTTAAAAAGTTGTCCACCACATGGTTTGACTCCTCAGTGACCGCTGCATAACAGCTCTGAGAAAGCGCAGGAATATGCGATGGCTTGTCCACACCAATGCTTAGCACTGGGAACTAAGTTACTCTTCAACGCAGTGTATGGGAATGTACCTCATTGCTGTTAAGCTGAGCTCCCATGAACCACAAAGACAGAGCCATGTGAAGGCCAGTTCACTGGATGTCAACGTTGTTTTTTATTAATTTAATCAACATAACACAAAAAACCTGCAAAGTTGAAAATATAACATTTCCCCCTATAAAACCAATTCCATTCCATGCAATTCTTACCCAAAGCTCGCCTGCCAATCATATCATTGACACGTCCAGGGGTGCCAACAACAACATGGACTCCAGCTTTGCACTTGGCGGAGTCATCCATCACACTAGTTCCGCCAATACATGCATGGCATTTAGCCTTCATGTAATCACCCAAAGCAATGATTACTTTTTGTATCTGGAAAACAGAATGTTAATGAATGCAAAACATGATAGCAAATTGTAATGTATAATAAATGTTCTTTTTTAAGTGACATGTTCCCACGAAACCCACACAATGTAACAAGCTTACCGTAAATGCTTGAATATGCGCCACACCAAATGTTATTTTTTTCGCTAAGCACCGCTGTGCTTAATCGAGTAAATTACCCTTATGTGTAATGAAACACTTCGAGAAACAGGATTTTAAATACCATGTATCAGTGTGAAATCAAGTATTTACAATGACGTAGGACCTATGACAGGCCTACTGAACTACGGGAATACACGAAATAGGTAACATGGGAACGTTCATGGAGAACGACACGCCAATACTTTTTTTATAAGCGCTGCTTTTGAATAAGCACCTCACTGAAACTTCCAAAAATTTTATTAAGCGCTGCAGCGCTTCTTTAAGTCGTTACGATACTTTCGAGAAATATAAAAATTAGGTTGTGCAGTCAAAAAAAATTGATATTAATAACTGTATTATATTCATATACTATCTGTGCTATCATCTGCAAAAATTCTATAATTTGCCTATCCAATTTTTAATTCGGGAGTCTCACTTAGACATTAGTTGGCGCCTTTGTTTGGACCCTGTCATTTGTCAACTATGCAAATTATGCATTTACAATCAAGTTTTAAGTAGTTTTATTCAGTTCTGCTCAAAATAACCTTCATGGTAGAAGTGTCCTCATCGCAGCCCTCGTTCACACCAATTCTAACACCACCCCACACAAGATCAAATCAATATTTACTTTTATCTTAATTTTCATCATGCTTAGACTAGACCAGGTATATCTGCAAATGTCAATTTATTTGTGGACACAACAAGAATTAAAATAAACTAATAAATTCAATGATCTAAAGCCAAGAATATAATATAAACGCGTTTCATATTTTGCCACTTTGCACGGTTTTCAATTGAACACATCACACATTGTCCATCACATGGTTTGACTACTCAGTGACAGCTGCATAACAGCTCTGAGAAAGCGCAGGAATATGCAATGGTTTATCCACACCAATGCTTAGCACTGGGGACAAAGTTACTCTTCAACGCAGTGTATGGGAATGTACCTCATCGCTGTTAAGCTGAGCTCCCATGAACCACAAAGACAGAGCCATGTGAAGGCCAGTTCACTGGATGTCAACGTTGTCCCAATGTATCAAAGAAATTGGTTTTTTACTTTGCCAGTTAGTAAAATTATACAAACGAAACTGAAAATACTACCATGTTTTCGCAAACACTACCTGTTGGGCCAACTCGCGAGTTGGGGCAAGCACAAGTGCTTGACACTGCATAACCTCAATATCAATCTGCTGTAGGATGGAGATGGCAAAGGTTGCCGTCTTTCCTGTTCCCGACTGGGCCTGGGCAATCACATCAATTCCTACAAAAATATAGAATACAGTTATTAAATCTGGAAATTAAATTTAAAACATTTTTTTTAATTGTAAAGCCATCGCACATCCTGGAAAAACAAGTTATTACAGAATATATATTAACTACAGTATAATAATTGTGGCTTTTTAGAAGACGAGTATACCACCTCTAGTACCACCCCAGGGCAGATCCAGGAGGGATGAAACCCAAGACAGGGTTCAAATTTCCCCATAGCACCAACATCAATTGCTGTAGAAAAGGCCTTTCAATGCTGTTGTAAATCCCAGGCTCGACAGCAAGCTTTTTGCTGTCAAGTCAATTGACCCAGCAATGGATTATACACTTGCATTTATAGAATAGGCCTATTCTTAAAAAAATTTACGAGGCTTGTTGCTGTAGCAGAAGAATAAATTGCAGTAATAAAGCCATAGCCCATAGCAACTATTTGCTGATAGAGCATTTTGAGGGAATTTGAACCCTGCAAGAGGGGCGGACCCAGGATGGGCGAAAGAAAAAAAAAAAAAGAAAACGTAGGGCAAAACATCATTAAATTTTGTGACAAATAAATGTGATATGCCCATATTTGGATGTGGTATGTCACTACCACACCCATATATGGGCAAGTCCCAAATTTGTTGCATACAAATTTGATAGTATGGACAGTGCTTTAGATCAGATACCACCACAATAATCAAGTCGACTATGGCTGCAATTACAGCATGATAATGGGGTACTAGATTATAGCAATCTTGCAAAAATCTTATAATTATATTTATGCAATGTGTCCTTGTATTTATGGCCTACAAGTGGGCACCACAAGCAATGGAGGCAGGCCAAAAACTTTGTGGAAGTGAACAATTCTGAGCTGTAGTAAAAAACCCCTCATGTTGAATAATGCAGGGGGAAAAAAAGCAAATAAAAGAAATAGTATGTATGACTTTTTTGCAGCCTTTTGTCCTAGAGGGGATCAAGAGGTAACCAAGTTTATGCTAAATACAGAATCTTATATAATTCAATGGTGTCCTGATGTTTTACTACAGTTCAGAATAATCTTGTATGATTTAATGTTCCCTTACCCATATTCTTGCAACTCTTTGTCAAATTTAATCTTATTCCCTGTCCAGACTATCGAACTTTGAAACCATGTTACATGCCCAAATATGGTAATGACGACATCACATCACGATCATATGTAGGCACATCATGACTATATATGGGCATACAACAGTTTGCTTTATCTGTGGGATGTAGGGGATATGGGTAATTATCTGGTACGGTTCATTAGTATTAGGCTAATGGCCTTATCCAAGGAATTAAGCGGCCAAGGAATTGAGCGGCCTTGTTCCCTCCAGCCCGTAAGGGATAGCATCTGCAAGTGCCCTGCCTTGGGTTACTTCAGGATGAGGCTCCCATCTGTGTTGGAAGCTCGCGCCGAAACCTTAATTTTTAAGTTAAATCCAAAAGCCTTCATTACCTTTGCAGCATGGTATAATAGCCCTTTGCTGGATGGCAGATGGCCTCTCAAAGCCATAAGCATAAATGCCTCTAAGGAGATCTTCCTTTAAGTTCATATCATCAAAATGTTCATGTACTTCATCGTAGTTGCCCTATAAACCAGGAATAAAGAAGTGCATTAACATCACTAGTTTTGTGTAAACATGTACTTCAAAAGCTTGCCAGAATAAAATCAATACAGTACAACCCCTATTAAGGGAACTCTTCCTTTGGTTGTGAAGTGAGGAAAATGTACATTTAATACTAAGACCAACCTCTAATCAGGGGGGAACCCTATTAAGGGGACACTTTTTTCAGTCCTGAAGGTGTCCCCTTAATAGGAATCATAATGTATTTTTCTTTGCAATTCATGAAAATTATTTTACCAAATAATTTTAAACTAAAAAAATGTGCACGTGACAACAGTGCATTACCTCAATGAGACCGGCGTCCATTCCTGGTGGTCCATCTTGGCTCTCATCTCGTTCTCGCTCTTTATCTCTATCATTGTTTGGACCATTGTCCTGGGTGTAACTATAAAAAAAACCAGACAATTAGGCTGTTTTAGTATCATATATTTTGGAGCCATTAATGTCAGATGGGGTACAAACATCTTGTTAGATAACGTCTTAAAATTTTGTCATTGCATAACTATGTATGGACATTTCGAAACTGTAACGTCAGCATGCACAATTTTCATACGTGAATATTTGAAATGATGTCCTGGTTTTAATGTCATAAAACCAACAAGAGGACATCTTTTGCATCACAGCGAGGTAGTCCCTAATATATAAATCTGACGTCTGATGTGTTATACACGTTTGTATGTCATTGCACATAACGTCTCTGCCCATTAACGAATTTCGGGATTCTTTGACCGTAAGGGAGAGTACCTGTTGGGGTCCCAACCTTCGGCTACAAGTATCTTTTAGTATTTTATCTGGATGTCGCCATCTTATAATCCGACTTAATTCTGCACAGACATTTCGTAACTTGCAGAGACTTACAAAAATGCCGGTTACGAAATGTCTGCTACCCGTCTAGTACTGTATTATTTCTTGAACGTTGGCCTACTCTAGGCCAAGGACCTTAGACCTACATCCAGCCTATTATTGCTCAAGTGTACTGGTTGAAGTTCCAACCTTGTGGTGTGTGGATGCACTCTTATCAAGTGATTAGAGCTGAACACAAGACTGCTCTCTTCACTTTCTACTTTTGATACCACCTAGATCAACATGCCCCGCCCATCCTGTTGAGTGTCCTCCATAGCCTGTATTTTTAGGATACTATAGTAGTATTTTAATACCTCTGTGCTTATCATACACTAGGCAGAATGCCTAGGCCAGATAATATCGAGTCTGTAAATGTGAGTTAACAATGGATTTTAAATGTGAATAATTAAATGCATCACCATTCATTTATTCTTCTGCTGTGGACACAATTTTGGTTCATTCTTAATCTTATCCCTTGCATAACCACAAAACGTCAGTAAATCAGCAGAAACCTCACAATGCACAAGATTAAAAAGTAGGCTATGGCAAGAAAACTTATAAATTATACCAGGTTGGCTAGGCTCAGACTAGATTGTTCCATATAGCCTACTCTACTAGGGCCTGCTGTAGGCTAGGCCTAGCCAAGTCTATTTTTATGTTTAGGCCCTATTCATATTTTATTTTGGCATTTCAAAAGCGGTCAAGACTCTAGAGAAGATTATGAAGACGGGTATTTCGTCGTACGTAGCCATGACGAATTGCATCGAATATACGAAAAAAAACAAACATATTGCTAACTAGGCGGTAGGGCCCCCTAGCTAGCTAGTAGTAGGCTAGGCCTAGTCGAGCAACATGGCTGCCATATTTCACATTCAGCACACGTCCACGTTAGTTACACAAATATATACAAATTAAATACAAAGAAAAGAATAGTCAGTTTAAAGAGAAATCATACATGAATTCCTTATAAATAGTATTTGTTATATAATTACTTCACATTCGTTTATTTCATTTATTCCGTTCTTCACCACCACCAAGTAGCACGTGTGTGAAGTTGATGAATGAATTGAGCAGTGCCGGAATAGTGGTCAATAATTTGTATGAAATTTCACAAACGCAATAATATTATTACAAAAACAACCAAATTTAACATTTAGCTAAAATATTAAATTATTCAAATCATCAACTTAATTGCAAAATAAAAAACAAGTACATTAAGAAATTACCAAATTCTTACCCTCTTTCATCGCTTGACATTGTACTTAGGGTAAAACTGCGCGGAAAAGACTTATATGACCGGCGCCTGATAACTTTACAGTGGAGATGATACACATACGCCAATTACCCCATTAGGACTATATTTTTCTGATAAATCTTAACCAAAATTAAAGTACTTTACGCTCTAATAATTACAGTGTTTTAAATGAAAAAAATATCTAATTTTACTTGATCAAGATATTTAAAAAATTGTTCTGCTACCTAATTATCTGAAATATATTTAATTTATCAGCGGAAGGTTATCTCAACTCAAGAAATGAAATCGGACAATTCTCTCCCTTTGTCGACACATGAACGAGGATTTTGATTGGTCAATATGATTATGACCAAATTGGTATTTCGCAATAGTCTTTGGCCGAGTCATGGTTAAAAAAGTCGAGATTTCGCAATATGGAAATATTTTTTTCGGGTTCCTTGACAACAATAAACGTTTATTACCACTACACACTATACGATTGTTTTAATTCTTAATTTTATTGTTAGAATTGTTGAATTGCCTTTCTTTATGGTAGGCCCTACTAATATAATTAAACTTTTTATCATGGTTGCACGTCGTCGTGATGAACCAAATTATCTTTGATTTGATTTTGATTCGTAGCCTACGGTTCTTATATAGGCCTACATATAATAAGTAACACAATATATAATATTTTTAACTTTTAAAAATCTTATTGTGTTTCAAAATTTAAAGGAATAAAAATACAGGAAATTTAGGACCTAGAACCTACATGCAAAAAAAAAAAAAAGGCCCTACTCCGATACGGATCCGATATGCATATATCGTTGAAACAAGGATAACAATCGAGAGTAAAAGAGCAATAAAATTTAATGACAAAGATTCATATAATTCTGGCAAATAGGCTTACGATATTTTGTAAGGAGAAAAACGGACAAAACGAAACAAACAAGAATATCACATAAGGCCGTGTAGGCCGCTCAGCCTCCCCTACCGATTTTTTTTTTAAAGCACAATTAGCAACTCTTGTTTTTTTTTACATGCTCTAAAGTCGACCTTTAAAAACAAATCATGAAACTTAATGGGATCTTCGAATTAATTAAGCTTTAAAGTTGGGAACATCCTATATAAGGAGGAAAATGAGGACGTAGGCCTATCCGAGGAATTAAAGCACATGTCGTAAAAAGGAAATTAGGCCTACGTTGCAATATTTTAATTTATTCCAGTAGGCTTACAGTATGGTAGAAGGTTTCAAGCATGTGAATTTAAACATATTGTAGGCCTAATTTAAATACTGTATTACGCTATAGGCTACTGCCGGATATATTCTTGTGATCATGTTCATACGCCTACTGAATTTTATAAATGTCACAGTTACGATCTGGCGTAAATATGGATTCAAATCCATCTGCTTTTCCTTCTATTATAGAACAACCCGACTTATTCATTTATTTATTTATTTCTGCTTAATAACGATGCAAAAGCATTCAGTGGCGGATAATTCAAAATAGAGAGGGTCCGCGGCAAGGTACTTAGTGGCCTACAGATGGAGGATCTAGGCCTACGCCCCTCGGCCCACCACCATGGTGGGTTGAGGTAAGAAAATTGTAATTATGGCACCTCTAGATGGCCGGAAATTGCATATCAGACAACAATTTTTGAATGTATTCTCCATTGTTAAATAATTTTTTTTTAAATTTAGTGGGTGGGGGAGGGTGGACGGCTGCCCCACCCCTTCCACCACTGGCATTTGTTATCCCCCAGGCCCAGCAAGACATACAATTAAATGACAAACATCGAAAAGCATTTCAAATTTCGGAAATTCGGAAGTTCTTCTTGTAGATCAATTAAAGTTCAGGGAAGCAGCGATGTATTGTCACTCTTAAACATCAGCCCGGAAAAGAAAAATCAGAAAATACCCTAGGCCTACCTAAAAAAGTCAATTAAAAAAAAGTTTAATAAGTTATTTGAAAGTAGGCCTAAGTTATGAACTTCCGAACCAGAATAACCGTATCGAAAAAGTTATCACTGATGTACCGGTAGGCGTTTTTCTACAATACCAACTAAAAAAAGATTACAGCAACAGGTATTATTAGGTCTATTTATTTGTCCGTCTATTAATGGGGAATTGCATTTTCTTCACATTCAAGTTTTTAATTGTATGTTAATAACTTACTTAAATATATAAATTAACTTAAGCAATTCACTTATGGAATATTGTTTAGCTCTTGAGAGACAGTGAATCTCTCATAAGCTATGCTGAGCAGATCCACGGGCTGGGTGGGGGTGATCATCGGCGACGTCCGGACCTCTGAATTGTATTCCCTTTTATACAGATGTTGATAATAACATGGCCAGCATCGACTGTTTTTATAATAGCCAGAACAAAAAGAAAAACGTATAAACCGGAAACCAAGTTTTTAATGCTGCCAAAAATATGACGTTATAACTTATTTGATTGATGACGCCAAGGATGACGTATATATATTTTTTTTTCTCTAAAAGGGAAGGCAAAACATAACTGAGCTGCGCGATCCAAGGTAGTCCAAGGATTTTTGTTTTTTGACTACGGTATACTTTTTAATTTTTAATATTTACAATTGTTAACTTTCTAAATGGTTTTACTTTTTAAAATTTGACATTCACACCTTATAACTGTTTAACCCCTTTACTTGTATTGTCAATGCTGTTTCATTTTAGCTTTGAATTTTTGGAATATTGTTTAGCTCTTGAGAGACAGTGAATATCTCATAGGCTGCGCTGAGCAGATGCACGGGCAGGGTGGGGGTGATCATCGGCGACGTCCGGACCAATTGTATTCCCTTTTACAGGTATGCTGATAACTATGGCCAGCATCGGCTGTTTTTATAATAGCCAGAACAAAAAGAAAAACGTAAACCGGAAACCAAGTTTTTAATGCTGCCAAAAATATGACGTTATAACTTATTTTTGACTGATGACGCCAAGGATGACATATTTTTTTTCTCTAAAAGGGAAGGCAAAACTATACTGAACTGAGCTTATACTTTTTTTTATACTGAGTTTATACGTTTTTGTTTTTTAATACGGTATAGGCCTTTTAAATTTTTAATATTTACAATTGTTAACTTTCTAAATGTTTTTACTTTTTTAAAATTTGACATTCACGCCTTATAACTGTTTAACCCTTTACTTGCATTGTCAATGTTGTTTCTATTTTAGCTCCGAATTTTGTCTGGATCCCGTTAAAAAGTGAGTCAGCATTTTCTATAGCTGTAGCAGCCATCATCCAGCATTCATTTCTTCTAATCGTTTTTTGGTTGTGTAATCAGTAGATTTTCACAGATTCAGGGTCCATCCACCTCGGCCCACCATGTTTGGTTTGTTGCCAATGTGAATATGGCTGGAATCAATTGGCACTCTCAGATCGTAAACTATATATTTTTTTCTCTATTATTTTTTTTTAATTGTAAACTGTAATCTTTCCTTTAATTTAATGCTGTTCATGTGTGTTGGAGTACCCAAACAATTAAATTTACAGTCTGGTGATCTGTTAAGGAAGGAGATGGGCATGAATCCTTATACAATAATTCAATCCGTGTGCCAAATACGGAAGAGCTCATACATAACAGTCAATTCAATTTTCTTTTGAATCACTTTTGATACAGGCACACAAATTCAAAAACAACCTTCAGAGATACAGTACAACCCCTCCTCCGGGACACAACCCTATTAAGGTGACTTTTTCGGTCACAAAATGAGGGAAAGTGTATACGGAGTTAACAATTCAGCAACTACCTTCCCAACTCACTTAAACCCATTAAAAGTAACGCAACTTTAAAAATAAAACTTAAACTAAATATAAGTAATGAACAACTAAAAACTTAACAAATCAATGTTTTATTGCCATGTATCTATCTTTGTTGTTGGCCTTATGTTTGTTTATATATTTTGATAACTTTCCTGAATAGGAATTTACCTTTTTAATTGAAACTATTTACTTTCTGATTTTAATGGTCTGGATTCCACTTGGAAATAAGTCGGCCTGCTGTAATGCCGACTTAATGGGTCCTGATACATACTTTTCATAATAATTTATTGAACTTGTATTTTACTATAATTTTACTACGTGTGGAATATCAAATAAAGTCAATCAATCAATCAATTAATCATTTAACACTCGGCCAATCCCCTATTCAGGGAAGCCCGTAATTAAGGAGACAGTTCAGTTCAGTTTTGTTCCTCCCACTGATGCCAGTATATAAATGGAGCTGCACCGACGATTATATTAGGGCTAATAGAGGTGCACCAACGACTCATCAGGTCCCAAAGCCAGTGGCGAGCTAGGTTGTGAGGGGCCCAGTGGTTCAAGAGTACTGTAAAACTGTCGGGGCCCTTCGCGCATGCAAATTTATTAACGATGTAAACAAGATATGTACCACCAATGGATTGGTTTTGGAGCAAGAGTCATTTTATAATATTTTGACAATAAATCTTTGGATTATTTTTATTTTTAATTTGTATATAGGCATCTTTGAAGAGCCGGGTATTGGTTAGACTGGCCATAATAATAAGCATTTCTACTTCATATGACCAAAAGAAAAAGCACCTTGACGATATTTGATATTTATTGAATTGATGTTTTTATCAGATTAACCATAATGAAAAATGTCAACAACTATCTTGTATATATTAGTTTTATTTACTTAAGCTAAATAAAAAGAAATGTATCACACCTGATTTCATAGATTACCGCATGTATGACTTGTTTTATCCGACAAAACCCCTCAATTTGTTCACTTAGAAACAAATGCACGAATAACAAAAATAAACATGCTCCCAAAAGTTTGTAGGATGAAAAGAATAAACAAAAATTCAAACAATACTCATCCAAGTCTTGATTGTGAACGTTTTAGCGATTATTTTAGTAATATATAGGAACAGACACTTCAAACGCAATTAAAGAAGACACAGCAGAATGGAAACCCAAAATTTCATTCACAGTAAATTTTACGACACTTGTAACTGGCGATATTGAAAAAAGAAATCTGGGATGCTTATCTAAAAATAGTAACCTTGATTTCATAATTTCGATTCTATAAATTTGCATCACGCTATATCGCGAAATCTCTAGTTATGTTCCATTATAAATAAATCATTATGAATGGTATGGTTCTAAACGATTGGAAAGTCTCAATCAGTAACCCCATATACAAAGGTAAAGCCCTAGCAATTATAGACCAATCTCTCTTTTTTTTCTGTTTTCTTTTATTTCATTTCCAAAAAAACACACATTGAAACACATTTCGCCGATGCAGCGGCAACAAAACACATTAATAGATCAAATCAAAGAGATAACGACAATAATAATCATAATATTATTATTAATTACAATTATTATAAATAAAATAAACATCACACACACACACACACAAACAATAAGCAAAACTTTTAGCAACCGGTTATTAAATTTATTATTGTGTTATTAAATTGTAAATAACATATCATAAGCACGCATAGATATGCATACATCAATATATTCATGGTACAGTATATATAAGTGATATTATTGTTATTAACACAAGATTGTGGTTATAATAAACAATAACAATACCAATGATAATGATAATATTATTAATTGTTACAAAACTATATTATTATTAATAACAATAATCACAAAAATAAAAAATTCACTGTGATTTCCATCTAGTGTTCGATTGACAATTTTTACAACAGGCATAGGGGCCTAGTCATGTTTAAGTGACTATTTTTAACAATTACAAATTATTAATGTGCAGTATTACATAAAGATAAATACTATCAATCCCGATTGTTATTTATGCATTGCTTTATTAGATTTTTTAATAAGGGGGGAGGGCCCTTATAGATCGGGGGCCCATGTTCAATGAACCTGCGGTAGTTACGCCACTGCCAAAAGTTGTCCCTTTATAGAGGTTCGAACCATTGTAGATACAAATATAAAACTAATCTCAAATCTTCTCCCTGCCACCTCGGTGTTCCACATTTATTATTAACCTCTAGCAATAAACGTATAAGGTTTGTGGAGTTGAAATTAGACGTTAGCATCCGACCGGTAATGGAAAGGGTTAGAATCCTGATGGGAACAATACCTTCTTCTAAAAATAAAAGATATGATCATCTTTAATAATGTATCCCTTGTTCTCAAATGCGTCCTGACAAAAATTTGGATTACCAAAACTTTTCTAAAGGGTCGCTAGACTAAAGGTCCACTGATAATTCTCAGATAAGATAGTATAATGCATACTCCAAGTATCGAAATGCTTGACTATTTCCCAAAAAGAACTCATTGGACTGTCCTTTTAGAGAGTGTCTAGTGACTTGAAAAAACTTCAGTAGCGAGAGGACATTCCCTTTCCAGCTTGCAGGTTCTGCTTCTCGTTTCATTATTCACGCAGAAGTTTAGTCACATACATTTCTATTTTCTCCAAAAAAGCACTCGCCATTATGAAAATATTTGACCGAAGCAAATCATACTCTAGATTTGAGATATTCGATCAATATCTAAAGTCTCTCTCTTGTAATACTGTAAATGTATTGAAATGAAAATTCACATAAAAAAGTTAAACAATTTATATAGAGATTTAAACTAAAGGAAAAGCTACTGTAATTGCATTCAGGTAAAATTCTAGAAAGGTATTAATTGTGTTAATTATGTTTAATGGTTAAGGTGAAACAAGTTGAGATAATGTATGGAAATGAAATGACAATAAGAGGAGAAGGATATTCAACTAAAGAAAAAAGATAATTGTTCAACTGTACATACAATATTCTTGCGTATAAAATACCAAATTACGATTGAAAAATATGGGGTCATGTTATATGCGAAACATAATATATATTTTTTATTTTTAAATCATGTTCGTTTGTCTTATCTGCGGATCATTCGTAACAAGCAAATTTACTACTGAAATGAAGCTACTAACTGTTAGTTTGAATCAATACAATTTTTAATGCGGGGAAATAAGGTTTAGATGAACATTTAAAAGCCCATAAAATGGTATTATGTGTAAGATCAACCTACATCTGGCTGCATTTTTAGCCAGTTTTAGAGAGCAGCTTAGCTCAGTCAGCTAATCTGGTGGTAGCACACTGTGTGTGTGCTGAACCGTGGTGATCTCTAGGTCCCTGGTTCGATTCCCATCGCTGCCTCTCCTTGTGTTTCAGCTAGAGGGCTGAAATACAAGTTACAGTAGCGCACCATCTTTCGGATGAGACGTTTAAGCCGGTCCCGTGTGATTCTATGGCCCATGTGCATGTTAAAGAATGCAGTACACTCTTCGGAAAAGAGTAGGGGATTGTCTCCCAGTGTACTGCCCAATCACCAACAGAAGGACCCCACTGGAAATACTGTAAGTCTTCTTCTAGACTTTCGTGGGCTATCCTTGGTGTTTACACCGAATAAATCCAATCCAGCTAGATGCAGTATCAAGACCATAAAGAGCAGCAAAAAGTATGATTTTCAACGGTGAAATAGGGAGGTCGCCTTATAAGCCTGACATATAAAAATCGTCCAAAAATCTTCTCAAACACGGGGGGTCATCTTATACACTGATCGCCTTAAATGCGAGAATATACGGGTATATATTTATTATTTGTAATGGAGTGGGCAGCCATACCCATAGTGGGATCCACAGTGTAATCCTTGTGGGGTGCAAGACGACAAATATCTCACTGCATTCCAAGGGTCTTTGCCTCTTTACAACACAATAAGTATATTAGATGTTAGAAAAGTATTTAATACAGTGAAATTTAATAAAAATCTAACTGCCTATCCTTACCTTTTTGTATGAAGTTTTGCGCCACACTACCATTATGTATATTATCGGTCAAGGTGTTTAACTTTACCATACCTCATAAATATTAATTAGGTAATAACAACATTTTATTGGTCAATTCCACTAGGTATGCTGTGTGGTAGCTTCAACTACATCCCGGTGCAATATTTTTGTAGAAGGGTTGCTCACATAGATACAAATACCGTGACATGTGCTAATCTCACCAACGACTTCTACATGAACATCCCTTCTATATATAATATTTCCTTTGGCATGTTATATAATAAAGATATATTTTCCGACATTAGTTACATCTTCAAATCACTTTGATAACTTGACTTTTATTATCAGCAAGACATCACAATGGAATGCGTTCATTATATCTTGCTCGCTCTGTTTAGCAATTGTACGTATCTTCCGCAAAACTGCATTCTGTAAAAAAAATTCGGAATAAAATATTTTAATTCCTTACATCATTGTTATGACTGTAACCTTTGACATTTCAGGGGTTCCAAGTCTCTTGCAAGTCATGGGAGTCTCTCGGATATAGGGAAGGCATCCCACACTCCGGGAACAAGCTAGAAACCCCTGGAAGATAACCAATATCTGTTTTAAAGTTTTACCAACCATATCATCAATTGTTTCCCCGATGTCAGTGCCAATGGGTATCACCATGCAGAGCAAAATATAATTATAGTATAATTGTTAAGAAAGCTTTTTTAAACAGAACTTCTGACAAGTGACCAACAAACAGCGATTAACACGAAACCTCTGCGATTGAGGTGAGGGGTAGATTCAGGATATTTGAAAGAAGGGGGGAGGGCACACGAGTTTAGTCCAAAGTGAGGGGAACTGGCACGAGGGTGTGGCAATAGGAAGGGGAGGAAGCTTAACCCTCTAGATACCGTCTTCGACTATAGTCGAAATTGACCTCAATCCGAGAATTCCCATTTTCGACTGCAATCGAAATTTAGTGACTAAAAAATAGGTGGTTTTCAAATCGCTCTTCTGTTTTTATTTTAGCTCCAATATGTCAGAAATTTTGAACACGTATGCGTGAAGCTTTCTTCTTTCGAAATCTGTGAAGAACTCACATGCGCTTATATAAAAATGTTTAGAAATATCAATTTGAAATCGTTATTAATTTCGAAAATTTTCCGAAATGGCCGCACAAGATGTGTACACAGCTGATGAAGCGATTGCTTTCTTTGTTTTTGAAACATTTTTCTGTATAATTTACAGAAAGTTCCCAAAAATCCACCAGAACAATGTATACTCAAAAAATGCAAAAAACCTAGTTACACTGCAAAAGAATCCGGTATTCAAGGGTTTGCACTACAAAAGAATCCGGTATCCAGAGGGTTAACAGATACCCACAAATATGTGTGCAGTTGATGGTGGTAGAAAATATTTTAACATTTTGTATTCATAATCCAATTTGTTTTTTTGTTAAAACTGGCACACAGAGGAGTCTCCCCTCCCATTAAGATAATGAAATAAAAAATTACTCACATAATGAGATTTCTTGAAGCAGACAAGCCTCTGATTGATGACCAGCGTACCATTCTCATCATAATCCCAGAATTCATTTTGCTGTAGTAAAAATCAAGCGAAAAGCTTCAAATAATTAAGGTAGTAAATGAGGTAAAGAAGATTTTAGGATGTTTGCTTCAATGTGCAGGGTCCTAGGAATCCTAAAAAGTCTAACCTTGTTTAAAATTAACCTACTTCCATGGGTCACATGATGAAAGCCACTTCCATGAGATCTGGTTAAATAATGTATTAATAATGGTAGCTTTATATATTATTTTTATTATTATTATTATTATTTATATCATTTATATAGCACCATTTCTTTGTAGATACAAAGCACTTCTTTTCCCTGGTCATTGGGTCTACATCTTAAATGTTGCTGCTGGTAATCAGCGCAGGAGCAGGCAACGCCCCAGCTACACATAATTTATACTATTTTCTGTGAGATTCATGTTTACCAGTGGAAGTGAAGGAGGTCGTCCAAACATTTCCACGAGAATTTAGCAACTGAGATCAGTGGTAGCGCCCCTTACCGCTGAATGAAATCACTGTTGCTAAAACTGATACAAAGTCAGTACAAGCGACACTATACAGGGGCGGATCCAGAGAACAATGTGAGAAGGGGCCATGAGACGTGCAAAGCACTGTGTAAGGGTACGGTGTTTGAGATTTTTGTTGAGACATGCTTGACCATAGACACTGGAACATGACACTTAAATAGAAAATTAGCTTGTTTTTGAGTGGTGTGCTCCCTCTATTTGTTTTTTCCTAATATCAATTTTTTCTCTCTGTTTTTGGGAGCCCCCTAGCCCACGTAGCTTCACCTGCCCCTGAATTTCCCCTGTTGTAATAAGCCGTGGCCTGTTATCATGAGCAGGTCAATGTGCAAATTTTTCGGTATTACAGGCATCTGTGTCTGTTTTTCTGACATTACACCGGACACATGATCATCTCACACGGATGCGCATTCACACAATATACCAGGGAACGTATGCTAATTTTTCAATAGGCGGAAATCAATAAATCAACTCCAATAATATATAATTTTGTAGGCATACTTTTATACGTCATTTTCCCACAATTACCTGAGTGATATTGTAAGGAATTTCCTGTGGAAGGCATTCCAAAAGTTGTTCTCTAACAGCTTCCTCAAGGATTTCCATTGGTGATAGATCTGTGACAACTATCTTGTGATATTCCCATTCCTCTGGCTTGGCACTTTCCATAAGAAAATCCTGAGGAAAAAGCAGAATCTATATTATTCTCCATCAACTCAAAACCACAATCAATTTTATTATAATAAAAATGATGTACATGATTGTTATAGTGCCTTCTACACATAATTATTACTAATATTAATAACATGAATATTACTATAATTTATTATCATTGTTGTCGTCACTATTATTACAATTATTATTAATATATCACAATTAAGCAATTAGTATAGTGATTTATCATAATAGAAATAGATTATTCAAAGTTTAGATTAGTGAATTAAAATTTGGCTGAAGGCCAGTACTAATCTAACCTAAGTTAGTTATAAGTACAATAATTTCCTCTAGTGTATGGATATGACTATACTAATTGTTATAATATAGTCAATCATTTTTTCTTTAGCAGGCTTTCCGTAATTTAATCAAACAGATGTTGTAGTGGTCATCGATTGCTATAGTGACATGATCAGTATATTGTAAGTACATAAGCTGTGTGTTTGCTTGCATGATAAATAAAAATGTTACTGTAATCCTAGATGCTCACTGGTTTGTTACCATTACAGATAGTATTTCTCTTTAAAGTTACCGCTTAAAATATTATGATTAAATTATATACAGACCTTTAATTCCTGAACACCGTCACCACTTTTAGCAGATACCATAAACACCTTTTTAAAGAGATGCCAACCATGACGTTGACTGAATTCCTTTAACAACTCTCGGTGCCTCCTGTTCGCTTCCACCTGTTTGTCCTTTTCTTCTGTATTATTGGACTCCTTTAAGCTATAAAATTTTGATACTGAATCCAAATTTTTAATATATTTATTTAAGATATCCAACTTTTGGGAACTTGTCCTTTGTGGAAATTGAAATCTGTGATTTTCTTCAGGAACATCTGGTGTATCTAATAAATAATTATCAGAATGCATATGAATGTCTTCTCTGGTACCAGACACTTCCTCTGTGAAGTCTTTCGAGTTAATTTGTGATTCCGGATGAGATTTTAAAAGTCTGTCAGGCTCACAAGGACTAGCAGCCATCTCTGGTTCCTTCTCTGTCATTGACATCAGTATGTCATCTTCTCCTGCAACCTTATTCTTTTCTCTGCGACATGCAGAAACATTTTTGTACTGTAGGTACTTGCTCCGAAATCCCTTATTCTTGAGTAGTTTCTTGGTTAGTGTTCCACTCATCTCAATTGGCTTGTGATCAACTACACCCTCTGTTAATAAGGCTGTCAGCTCAACTAGACTCTGTTTGTTCTTCAAAATATCTACCTGATAAAGAAAAAGAATATATCCTAAAATTATTATTAAAATTTGTATACACTATAATTAAACACATACACTTTTGTATGGTGCTAAACATTTTGAAAAATTAAATTCAATACTTAAATCTATACAGATTTAATACAGAGGACTTCGTCAGTCAGTTATAATGTAGCAGTGACAGAAATGATTATAAAGAGCCATTATGGCTGATGAGGATGATGATGATAAAGAACTGTCATGCTAAATCTTAAGTCAAGAAGTAAACAATGTTTGGCTGATGATGGTGATAATAATAATGAATAAAAATAAATAATAAAGATGTTGATGACCAGAGATGACAATGATGATTATCATCATCTTCATAAAGACAATGATTATGATAATGATGATGATGATAGAGATGATGATAACATAGATGATGATAATGAAGATGACAACAAAACCTTTACATGATCCTTGTCTGCTTGGTGATTGGTTGATAGGAACTTACCTTATTAAGTACCAGGATGCAAGGTGTTTCTTGAAAATTGATTATGATGATGATGATAAAGACGATGATAATATAGATGGTGATGATAAAGATGACAACAACACCTTTTACAGTCATATTATTCTTGCCTGCTTGGTGATTGGTTGATAAGAACTTACCTTGGTTATTTATATGTTAGCTGGGGGTACCAGACTTAAAGCATCTAAAATTCCTATTGGTATCACCAGACATAAATGTATTGCCTTCCAATGTACGCTTTTATCATGTATCATTACTTGTCAATGCATTGTGTGAATACATTGAATTAAATTGAAAATTGAACCTTCATGAGAACCAGAAAAAATTCTTGAAAATTTATGATGATGATGATGATAAAGACGATGATAATATAAATGGTGATGATAAAAATGACAACAAATTTTACAAAGTCATATGATTCCAGCCTGCTTGGTGATTGGTTGATAAGAACTTACTTTATTAAGTACCAGGATGCAAGGTGTCTCTTGAAAATTGTTCAACTCCATCAATATGTCGGTGCTGATCTTCCTACAGGTCCACTTATCAGCCACATCAACAATCACAACAACTACAACAAAGGAAACAGAAACTCATGAATTTAACAAAGAGAATATGAAAGTCATTTGTACTTGGCGGCAATATATTCTTGCTTATAAAACAACGCTTAAAATAGCAAATAAAGATTGAAAAACAGGGGGTCGTCTTACATGCCCAACACATGCAAATTTGATTTTTAAATCATGTTTCTCTTATGTGTGGATCGTCGGCAACATGCAAATTTTCTACTGAAATGGAGCTACTAACTGTTAGTATGAATGAATGTAATTAATGCTGAGAAATAAGATTTTGATGAACATTTAAAAGTTCATAAAATGGCATTACTTGGAAGATTAGCCCAACATACAGCTCCGTTTTTAGAAAGCTGGATGCAGTATCAAGACTATAAAAAGCAGCAAATAGTAGGAATTCCGATGATGAAACAGGTGCCCGTCTTATACGCCTTACATACAAAAATCCTCCAAAAATCTTTTTAAGCTTGTGGGTTGTCTTATACGTGAACCACCTTATAAGCAAGAATATATGGTATGTAATAAATGGTCTTCCGGTTTTAAGAGAACAACTAAAGTTGCATCTAAAATGTTGCATCTATGTAATATTTTACACCTGGTTTTTAAACAAAAGGAAATAAAAACACAAAATGTTTCTTGAAAACAAATGGATTCATTTAAAGGTTTATTTGTTTATTTAGTTTTTGTTAATTTATTTACTGAACCATATTTATAGGTGGGACTGATACAATTCAATACAATTTATAGAAATATACAGAAAATAAGTTTTTCTACAAAGTTAGATAAATATTCCAAAAAGAAAACATAAAAGCTGAAAATTATGGTTTCTATAGTTTAAATTTGTATTACAGAAAAATATGTATAACAATTCATGAAGTCCCTTTTGGTCTATTCAATGAAAATGTTTTCCAACATGGTAATCAGATTAAAATTGTATTGTAAATTGTATCAATTACATGTACAATTACATACTTACTCAAGTCAGCCAATTCTAATGAAGACTTCGGTGATATTACGAGCTCCCTTGGCAGAGAATGGCTATAGTGAGAATAAAACATAAAAAATACAACAAATATTTATATATTATTGATATATAGTAACAACTGCTATATAAGAATTGTTCCACATGAAGAGATATACATCAATATATAAATTAAATACTTTTTAATTTAAGAAGTCATACCGCCTTGCTGAATCCTTAGTCACCATTCCTGGAGTGTCAAGTATTATCTATTACATAAAAAAAAAACTCAAAATATTATGATATTTGAATTAGAAAATTATCGATAACATTCCTTAATTAAAAACTATAAAGATATAAAATTGTCAAAATAAGTTAAAAAAAAATGGGCTATAAATAGTAGCTTAGCTCAGTCAGCTAAACTGATGGTAGCCACTCTATGTGCACTCAACCTGGTCAATTGTATTCACTGCTCTCCTTGTTTCAATAGCGTATTGCCTTTTGGAGGAGACGTTGAGGATGTTTGTCCTGTGAGCTGTATGGCCCATGTGCAAACTACAGAGCTTAGGGGAATTCAAGGGGGTCCAGCTGGACCAGGTGCCCCTTAATTTTTTGAAAATATAAAAAAAAAGGTAATAAACAAAAATTGCATTCAAATTTAAGTCTGAGAGTGCAATTTCCGGCCATCTAAAAGTGTCAAACATAAAATGTTGTATGTCATCCACAACATGGTAGGGCAGAAGAAATCTGAAATTTATTTTCTGGGCCCTCTATTTCCACTTGCTGGGTCATCCACTGCACAGTACATCTTCCTAAAAAGTTAAAGTATTGTCTTTCAGTGTATTTCCAAATCCACCAGCAAGACCTCACTGGAAATAAGTCTTAGATTTTCGTGGGTGATCCTTGGTGTAGTTTGAATAAAAGAAATTGCTAATCCAATTCAGTAGTGGATAAAACAGTATTTACTATTTTTTATTAATAAAAGAAAGAAAGAAAGACTTACAACTTGAGTGTCATTTTCTGAAAAAACAGCTGTTGCCTGACGCCGAGTTGTGTGAACTTTCTTGGACACTGCACATATCTGCAAAGATGATGCAATCAAACCAACGGTAATCATTCCTTTACAAATTTATTTAAATATAAATGTTTGTACATTGTGCCCCCTAAGCCTCATAATAAGACTTTAGAAGTATGTAGGGCATCTTGTGTTTATGTTGTCTTTTGAAGGGATACCATAAAACCTTGAAATGAAGCCCCCCTCTTTGTTTTGCAACAATAGCCTTGAAAAGAAGCCCATTGTACACTGAATACATGGTTGTAATATATTGGTATATTTCGAATCGATGTATTCCTGCCAGGGTAACAGGATATTTTTCACAACCAAAACAACTCCACTCCCTAAGCCTCATAATGAGACTAATACATAGAGCATCTTGTGTTTATGTTGTCTTTTGAAGGGATACCATAAAACCTTGAAATAAAGCCCCCTATTTGTTTTGCAACAGTAGCCTTGAAAAGAAGCCCATCTGGAAAAGATGCCCATGGGCTTCTTTTCTAGATAGTACAGTACATACACTCTACATGAATTTCAAAGAAACAAAATAAATAAAAAAGCATGCTTGGTTCATACATTAGATTAGGTGATCTAATGCTGGTTGATACACTCCAAGATACAGACTGATGGTAGAGTGGCCCTATCTATTGTTTTATAGCAGTAATTTTCCTAAAATTTACAATATTTATTTTGAAAAGAATCCTCCTCTTTACTACTACAAAAGTAGCCTCAAAAAGAAGACCATCTAAAAAAAAAATCCCATTTCAAAAAGTTTGCAAAAAAAGAACCCCAAGGCTCATTCAAGGTTTTGCGGTATACTTTTTCATTAAGGTAAATCTGTGCACCTACCCTTCTACCAAGTAGTGTGTTAACAAGAGTCGACTTGCCAGCATTTGGGGTGCCGATAATCGCAACTCGGACACAACGTGGATTCTCTGGTTGCTCCGGTGGTTTAATTAGAAGCAGCTCTTGTGTTCCTTTATCAGGGCTCACTGGCTCAAATGTCTGAGGACTACACAACTCTTCATCGCTACAAAACTCTCCATCACTACTGCCCTCACCAAGTTCTTTAAAAGCATGTTGTTCTTCTTGCTGAATCTTGTCATTTCCTAATGAATGAGTTGAGAATGTCCTGCTTCTCACAGTCAGTGTGAGCGTGCATTTGCTTGGAATCCATGCAGACTTTGAAGATGATGTAACTTTGAAGTTACTTATCTTTGCAGACACTAAATTCAGACATAAGGAGGTAAATAAACCAAAATAAAAAGAAGAAAAATTAGTAAACATAATAAGACATACGAAAGTTCAACCCTGTGAGTTTAAAACAAAGTTAAGATTCAATTAACTATTGTCTGACAGCTGTGAATATAGTGGAAAAATAAATCTATGTATACAAAAAATGAGAGGTACTTTTTTTGTATACTGTAAAGTCTCGTATGTTGTATAAATAAATGTGTGGCATTCTGATTTTTTACTTTGATTTGATTTATTGGTTCTTCACACAATAATATATACATAATCAGGAACACGAATCAAATGAAACAAAACTTATGAAACACATTGTCATGAAATATGTTACATTTTCAGGAGTACAAATATCAATTTTTAAATAAAATGTGAAGCCAGTGTGAAAGGTAGTCAAAATAAGTTAATAAATTTAGGACTTGACCGAGACTGATTGACTGAACCGAGGCTTGATCACGATAGATGGACACAAGGCAGAAAATGGCAATTTACTACAATTTATATAATTCCTCTAGTCACAGCACTCTCCAAGCAAAGGAGGTATAGGCCTAATAAGCAGGCTGATGACAAAATTTGTTCCATACAATATCGCAGCCGAAACGGTCCTAGTCCTACACATACATTCAATAGAAATTTTCAGGCCTAGCACACTGACAGAAACTAAAAAGAACGGAAAAATTTTGCCAACAAACACCCCTCGACCTCCCTCACCTACTTACTATTGTACTACCACTAGGCCTACGCCGCGGCCTACTAAACTACTAACTAGGCTCCTCACGGTTCACCAATCCCACGGTCGGTAGCCTAGGCCTACCTAGCTAGCGTAGTAGGCTAAGTAAATAGGCTACACTAAAGAAAGTGATTGGTGATTAAGTAAAATACAAAATTCGACTTCTACAGACTACATACCTTGTTCGCAAATATTATTTGATAGTGCTGTTACCCTAACAAAAGGTATCAAATTGTTTTTCCTATGCAACACGTTTCGAGCAATGGCAGCCGCCATTACTGTACGCAAAATATAAAGACCGCCCTCAAGAGGCTATTCCTTGCATAAAGTTTTCTCAAAAGTGCGCGGCTTTCAATTTTGTTTTTACTGTATTATTACATCCTACGTCTAGCTAGACTGATCGTTTTCAGTGATGGATGTAAACCTACTTTTATTTAAGGCTATACTGAAGTAATTGCAATAGCAAAAAGTACTAATATGTACTGTTATTTTAGCTAGCCATAGGCCCTAGGCCTATGTATGGTAGATGAGGGGCCTGCTGGTTGAAGAGGACTAGGCTAGCCTCTAGTCTAGGGTATAGGCCTAAAGCCAAGGCCTAGCCTAGTAGGCAAGCTTAGGGCCGTGGAGGGCCTAGGCCAAGTAATAGGCCCTAGAATAGTAGATCTCTACTACTAGGGTTGATGTTTGACGTACTAGGCCTAGATTATAGGCCTGGCCTACCTAGGCAGCCCTTTTTTTGTTTTGGCGACGGCCACTGGTGGAAAAAATAACGCCTGGTTGGTATAGCTGGTCTAGGCCTACAGTAGGTCTAATAAAATAAAATAATATTAGCCGCTAGGCGTAGGGCGTACGCCCTAGATCCAGGCTAGGTAGGCCTAATCATAAATAGATTATAAATATTGTATTGTTAATATACTAGGCCTAAAGTAAATACCACCACAAACATTTCACCAGGCTCCAACTATTTGACTTCAAGTTAGTATGGACCACAGTCATCGTCCACAGTCATGTATGGATTCTGATCTTTCAGACATGTCACTGACATTGTTGATAAAGTCCGCGCACAAAGTAAAAGTTGACACAGAAGTACTCGATTTAAATTGGTACCAAAAAGCCACTTATTCGGGAGAACGGCAGATGGAATGAAAATTTGGGAGGGTTGGAATGTAGACAGACGTGGCAACATGCAGCCACATTGAGTATTTGCACTACTTGAGATGCATCGAAAACTAACTCAAATTTGTGTGCAAAATGTACTACTACGAAGTATGTGCATGATTGTATTTTACTGTATAATACATGTATTTTAAAAGACCCAGTTTTACGCAAAACCTGTGCGAAGTTCAGCCCTTATTTTATTACCTGCAGACTGATTGCTAGAACAGTAGTGAGATTTGGAAATGGATCACCATGAAAATTTTTAATGTGTTGTGATATTTTACTGTGAAATGTCCAAACAAGGTTTCCCCATTGTGGAATAATAAAGGTTTTTTTGTACTGTATTGTAAAAAAAATATATATATATAATAATTTTCCAAAAAAGATAAGAAAATTCAGTAGATCAGGGGCCCTTATTGATCAGCTCACTGACTAGACATTGAGCTGGAAGGTTCATCCATATGCTGGAAATTTATATAAAATTAAACATACTGACTGTACTTGAGGCATTTAATAGTCAATCTAGTCGGTGTGATGGTACGTAGCCTAACTTCAGAGGAGATATACTTAAAATCCTTCTTTTAACTAGTACTATTAATTGGAGCCTACCGTAAATCCTCAAATAAGCGCTGTTGTCAAATATGTGCTGCATCAAACATGATTATTTTTGCTAAGCGCCGATCTCAAATAAGCACTGCGGTACTTAATTTCGAGTGAATAAGCGTCTGTGTGCAATGAAACACTTTCAGAAATATGCGTTCAAATGAATAAATAGCACAATGAAGACACAAACACGATCTCATAACTACAGTCCTCAGGGAATTACATTGGCTACCAATGAAGCAACGTATCACATACAAGCTAGGGATGCTCATTTTCAAGGCTTTGCATGAAATTTCACCGGTCTATATCAGCAGACTTGTGACCCCCCACAAGCCATCTCGATCAGGCCTCCGCTCGGCTGATCGCTCATTGCTCGCAGAATACAGAACCAAAAATCACTGGGGATCAAGGGCTTTTAAATTTGCAGCTGGAAAAGTCTGGAACCAGCTCTCATTCGACGTTCAAAATTTGTCTTCACTCTCTGAATTCAAGTCTGAACTTAAATCTTTTCTTTTTATTTCTCACTTTGAATCAACTCAATAACTGCTTTTCCCCGTCTCTTACAGGCCGGCATTTATTTTTTGGGGCTACTGTCTCGATTACAACTCCTGAGCACCCGGTCGTCTGTGGCAGGGCAAATGTGTTTCCCGTTCCTTTGTTCGAGCCACCTAGGCAGAGGTCCGGGATCGCGCCAGGGTGGTGATGGATTGTGACCCCGAAGAGTATTTGCATCTTATTTTGCCTATCTTTCCCATCCTGTCTGGTCCGACACAAATAAATATATGTTAATGATTAAATAAATAATTTAATTATTTAATTTAATTCACATAATGATGCGGAAAATGGCTACATGTACACTCAGCAGGTGGAAAACGGCGCCGCGACCACCCCTACTAGGGATGGATACGTGCGCCTAACAAAATGACATTATTATTATTATTATTATTACAAGCATTGTTTATTTACATTGATGTGAGGTCTATGATAGGCCTATCAAACTATGGGAATACGTGAGATTGGTAACAATAGGAACAATGGAAAGCACCACGCCAATACTTTTAATGAGTGCTGTCTCGACTAAGCCATTTATGGTCTATTATGGTTCACTTTTATCTACACTACTTATTTTGTATTTTGTACAGTGTCGTAATTTAAAAAAAGATAAACTGCATCATTATGACCTCCTAACCTGTGTTTTTTTATCCTTTAGAAAGCAACCTAATCCGAAAGTCCTTTGTGTCAGAGACATAATTTTAGCTTTTTTGGCTGAGCTTTTACAGCTATCATGTACACGTATCAAAGACTTTTTCAATAATTAATGAAATATGTTCCACAACTAATAAGACTAAAATTAAATAGTACATTAATTTTCTTTTAATTTTCAAATATGGTAGCAAAACCTGTGAGAAATTGAGGAACCCATAATATTATTTATCCACAGTGGACTCATGGTGAATATTTTGTGTGCTAGACTTGTATAACATTTTATTCAGAAACGAATACAAGGTCGTATGGCCATACATGATGAGATATTAAAATAGAATAGGCTGTATTATAAACTACCCACACCACGTACCATCAAGATTATTGAAGCCACATACTGTTTTTTTTAAGCAAAAATTCTTTGATGGATTGTGATGTATGTCTGGCCTTTGTTCTTGATTGAACATAGTGGGAGGAATTATGAATAATAGAATTTTGAGGTTTTCTGATGGATCATATATGATTAAAATTGTTAATTTAAAACATTTCAAAAGAATGTTAAAAGGGATGAGGACATAAAAGATAGTTACTATAAGCTTAGGGGAATTATACATTAAGACTAGTCACAAAATATACATGTTTTTTTCAACTTTTTAATTCTGTTTAACTAAACAGTTCATTGGGACTTCATTTATGCATTATAGCATATTTATATACATACATTACATTAGGCTACACTGAGGTGTGTCAACACTTACCAAGTAAAACGTGTCAGTATTTTTTTTTTTTAAATGTTCAAAATAGCTGAACATTTAAGGATGTGACTGGTGAGTAAGGTTGGGCAATGTAAATTGTCACTTTTTTCTGTACACTTCCAGATTGATGTGGGGTCTATGATAGGCCTACCAAACTATGGGAATACGTGAGATTGGTAACAATAGGAACAATGGGAAGCGCCACGCCAATACTTTTAAAGAGTGCTGGTCTCGACTAAGCCATTTATTGTCTATTATGGTTCACTTCTCACTACACTACTTATTTTGTATTTTGTACAGTGTCGTAATTTAAAAAAAGATAAACTGCATCATTTTGACCTCCTAACCTGTGTCTTTTTATCCTTTAGAAAGCAACATCAACCGAAAGTCCTTTGTGTCAGAGAATTAATTTTAGCTTTTGGCTGAGCTTTTACAGCTATCATGTACACGTATCAAAGACTTTTTCAATAAGTAATGAAATGTGTTCCACAACTAACAAGACTAAAATTAAATAGTACATTAATTTTCTTTTAATTTTCAAATATGGTAGCAAAACCTGTGAGAAATTGAGGAACCCATAATATTATTTATCCACAGTGGACCTCATGGTGAATATTTTGTGTGCTAGACTTGTTGTATAACATTTTATTCAGAAACGTATACAAGGTCGTATGACCATACATGATGAGATATTAAAATAAAATAGGCTGTAAATAAAACTACCCACACTACCTACCATCAAGAATATTGAATCCACAGACTTTTTTTTAAGCAAAAATTCTTTGATGGATTGTGATGTATGTCTGGCCTTTGTTCTTGATTGAACATAGTGGGAGGAATTATGAATAATAGAATTTTGAGGTTTTCTGATGGATCATATATGATTAAAATTGTAATTTAAAACATTTCAAAAGAATGTTAAAAGGGATGAGGACATAAAAGATAGTTACTATAAGCTTAGGGGAATTATACATTAAGACTAGTCACAAAATATACATGTTTTTTTCAACTTTTTAATTCTGTTTAACTAAACAGTTCATTGAGACTTCATTTATGCATTATAGCATATTTATATACATACATTACATTAGGCTACACTGAGGTGTGTCAACACTTACCAAGTAAAACGTGTCAGTATTTTTTTTTTAAATGTTCAAAATAGCTGAACATTTAAGGATGTGACTGGTGAGTAAGGTTGGGCAATGTAAATTGTCACTTTTTTCTGTACACTTCCAGTAGTATTATTTTAATTTGAGTCAAAACGTTAAGATAGGGATGTGGCAGGATGGTTATATTTTGAGTTTTTTCCTGACTAGATGTTGATTATGGTTTTTTTTTTTGTGATGAACTGGTCATACTTAGTTGTTTGTTGTGACAAAATTTGGTCCACGTTGTGGTGAATTAAACCGGGGGATGAGGAGTTGAAACCTTTTAGGCAAAAAGCTGGGGAGAAAATCTTCTGTTGCTGTCTGCTTTACTTCATTGCAAACTCACTGTAATGGACATTTTTTTTTCTCTAAACATGTTTAACATAAATCTTACAATAGCCAGAGTTTCAAGGCTTTTAATGTGGCAAGCACAAGGCAGCATTGTGATGACGATAGGCTAATACTGCAACCCTATAGCCCCAACTGTCATAACCCATTGTACCGTGAACCATCATTTTCCGACAAAGCCTCAATGATGTCAAACTTTGAGTTTCAATGTGAGAGGTAGAGAGGTGATGTCTGAATCGTTTATGACTCACATGACTGTCCCCCACTTGTTATGCAAAATTGCTCATTACACAGTGCACCTATTAACGTTCGACCAAGCGTGACATACTAAACACTGCAACAAACCAATAGGCTTTATATTGCTTGTACAATAATACACCCAATGACTCTGACCATAAAATAGATTGAAATTGACCAAATATATAAATTTTTACTAAGTTGTTCATATCCAATATCATGTAGAACTTCAGTGGTATTTACCTTAATACAACAGATGATATTTCTTTAATTTCTATTAAATTTTCTGAAGATTTTATTCAATTAAATTCTGTTTTGTGAAACTTTCAGTCAATTTTATTGATCTCCAATGGGTTTAACAAGTGCAGTGTTTTCATGCATGGCAGATGACATTCACTGTGTCTATATTTGGCTGTATGTTTATTTTCTCTACCATATTTATTGTCAATCAGGATGTATTAGTAATACATACAGAGCAGATCCTTGTGAGATTAATATATTATTCAATTCCAGTGTCAGCAACAGGTGAAATACATATTTTAAACATTTTCTCTATCAGGTGGCGTATAAACTATAATATTCAAGAGTTACTGCTGTTTTCAATTGTTCTCACAACTACACTACCAAACGCAAGGATAAAGCAGGGTATGCATGGGTGTCTAACCTGTAGATAACTAACTTAGTGGTAAGTATTCATTTCATTGCACCCCTGTTGTTAGGCTGCTGTTAAAGATTTATTATGTGGTTCTTTTCTAGGGCGTGAACATGGAGCTATAAAATTACCATAGTGGGACAAAAGAACAGCCCAGCATAGCATAGAGTAGAAAACTTCAACAGCCTAGCTTAGTCCAGATAACTTATCACATTTTGCCTTATAGATGAAAAAGGAAAGGACATGAAAACATCAGTTCCTTATTATTGGGTGTAGGACCGTTTCTGCCACAAAAGTTTGGCCATGATGTATGAAGCACCTTTTTTATTTGTTTTCAGTCCATTTAATTCATTAAATCACTAATTATTATAAATATCTTAATACTGATAATTATTATATAATAACTATGCATATTGACTTGCAAGTAATTAGAAGACTGGGAAAGGCAAACAACATGTTTTATTTATGTCAATTCACCAAGAGAAGCTTAGGTCATGCAAAACATAAGAAATTAGCGTAATAGACCAAATCAGTCACCAAGGATGATAAGTGAAAGGCAAATGGGAAGCACCCATAAAACAGCAAACGGCCATATAATGCAAAACAATTTAAAATTAAAATTAAAATTAAAATTATATATATATATATATATATATATATATATATATTGTATAACTGTATTTTTTAATTTAAGTAAAATGAATTTCTGATTGATATGATCAAATAAAGGATTGAAATAGAATCACAATTTTATTTTAAATGCTTTATGTCATATTTAGTTGGTGTTGCATGCATGCATGTGGTATCTTAGTGGTTTGTAAAGGTAGAATAACCCATTTATTTTTATTTAATTTTTGTTTATTTGCAGTATGATTGACTTTCAATATGATGTTTGATTTTTAGCTTCCCATAGCTTACCAGAATTTTTAAATTGTAAATTTGTATATTCTTTTATATTTTTTAATGTGAATTTCAATATATTTTGATGGAATTTGTGCAATTTATATTAAATAAATTATTTTATTTTTTTTATTTAATAGGATTTATAAAGCACACATATCCAGAAAACTTCCAAAGGTGCTTTTATCCCTTGTCGCTGGATACAGAATCTATCATGCACCACGTGCAACCTCCCCCTCCCCCTGGGGAGTATTCCAAGTTAAGCTACATTTACACTAGACACGATAGCAACACAACGTCATATCATCGTGTCGTTTATATTGTCGTGACGTTATCATGTCTAGTGTAAATGTGGCTTTATGCATGTAATCATCATTAGTAATTTCATTCAAAATCATTCACCTCTTACGAGGTACTCATTTATACTTCTGGTTGAGAGAGACAAACACAGATAAAGTGCTCAAGGACACGAACAGTGTGATGAGCATCGGTCCCAAATACTCGGCCTTCCGATTGAAAGTGCCACACGTTTCTATGGCTTCTACTGTATGACTGCACCATAACTTGCACTATAGCAGCCATAGAGTAGTACAGTAGTGCTTAGTAGCTTTATTATTTTGTCATACCACAACGATAGTGCCGAATTAAACCAGAGCATCGGGGAAACCCCTACTCTTCAAAATTGGTACAAAGTGCACTTGAGCCACTTATTCTGCTTTTGTGTGTACATACAGATGTACCAGAACAAACAATATATAAATAGTATCAATACAGTAACATACTTGCCAAATTTGAGAGAAGTGCTGGCTTGAGATTTTGGCGCGGAAGGGACTCAAGTAGACGTGGGTCCAGGGCCCACCTAAATGCCGGACATTTTTTTGCATAGATGGTTTCTAGTGCACTCTAGGGGGCCACTCAGTGTGCAGGTAGTAGCTCAAATTTAAACATCGCGACAATTTCTTCCGAAGTTTTCAGTCAAAAATGGCCTGAAAGTTGTACAGACATGTGTGCCTTGCCCAATATATAAAATTACTACATTTTTTGCAATGAGACAGTTGTAAAGTGGGAGAATGTATGTGGATGGCGGGAGGGCTTGAGATTGGGTCAAAAAGCTGGAGTCTCCCACCAGATGTGGGAGACTTTTTAGGTATGTAGGAGCTTGTCCTATCGCTTTTTTTGGGGCTTCCTTCTTTACCTTTATAAGGAAAATTCAAAATCCTACAGACATTACAATGTTTTCCATCTTTTAAAAGCAAAAAAAAAAAAAAAACTTTATAAACATTTCTTGTTGGGACATTTTCCCCAACTCCTAGAAACTGATTCACATAATGATGTCTATCCTTAAAAAGAAAAAAAAAAACCAAACCATATCCTGTTAAAAAAAATAACAGATTTAGAAGCATGCATTTTTTTGCCTGAGTACTGTATTTGTGGTAGAGATGACTACATTATAACAGTTTTATCTTGCAGAGCAACAAAATTACTATGGAATCGATAGAACAGTCATTATTAGAAAACTTGCCTCGCACACAGCGACTGAAACTTGCCAAGAAATTTCGGCAAGAGCAAGTTAAACGATTTAATACTTGGCAAAAAGAAGTTCGAGATAGCCCGCTAGCAAAGAATCGAAAGCAGAACAAGAAAGGGTTGAATGTTAGGTTTCAAATTTCAAACAAACTCAGAGATGCAGTTTCAAGATTTGATGATCAAGAAGGTGAGATTCATTTGTGATATTTGTCTGTTTTCCTACTAATCACCAATCTCATAGGATATGTGTGTTACTAAATAATAACAATTAAAACTAAATTATTTTGTATTGTCATCATCATCATTTATCACAATCGGGTTTAGCCAGAAGAAGGAAATACTGTAGGCCATTCAAAATGGAAGACGGAGAACTCATCTTGGGTGGGTGAGTGGTATTTGCTAAAGGTAGGCTAGGCCAAGCTGATTAGGTCATGGAAAAAGTGGCCCTCATAAATAGTTTTTGGACGGCCGGAAGGCTCGCTGGCTAAGCCCTTGATCACAGTCATCATCACCATTAAGATTGTCATCATCGCCATCATCATCATTGTCATCACCATTATCTCAATCACATAATCATCATCACCATCATTGTCATTACCATCTCACCGTCGCACCATCTTCATCTTATTTTAGTGTTACAGTATATGTATATATTGCACTGTTACAGTAGGCTTCAAATTTTGTTTCGCCTGACCGTCCTAGCGATAAAACGTAAATATTTGATGTTTTGAAGCCAATTAAAGTCTTATATAATGATTGTTGAATTTTATTTGAATAAAATTCCAAAATATACTTTGTGTGTATTCTGATCCAAGTTTTTCACTGATCCAATGAGGTTGAAATGTATCATTTTCTCGGAATATAATAAAAAAGTAAAAATTGTCCAACTGCCCATCCTGATTTTGTTCATTTAATAAAGGCAACGCAACAATATTTTTTTATCTTATATTTGTTATTAATGATATTATTAATTGGTTTACTACTGCAAGTAAAACCTTTGACTGGAAAATTGCATTTGTATATAATTTTAATGTTTAGCAGAAAAGAAAACAAAAATGTTGGCTTAAATTACAGTCATGTGTGAGATGATGTCACTCCCAGATTAATCATTAAAGATTTAACAAGAGTTGATTTGGTTAATGTGTGGAGTGGGACTTGCTGTATTTGTCATTTCCCACCAAATCGTCCAAGCATGTCGTGTATGCCGCAGTCCTATTTTATACTGTGTCATACCCTCTGTTATATTATTAGCCGATGTACAGCTGCTCTGTACTCTATTATGTCTGCTAGTGCGCTGCTTGAAAGATTTAGTGTTTTCTTTCGTCGCGCTAAGTGTTGTTTTTAATTGTTGAGTCATAACAAACTCATTTCCCCTGAGGACTTTCAGTGGATACACCTGAACTTATCTTTTGTATTGGAATTATATTTTTCATTTTTTGGTTTAAATTTTGTGATGTTGGTGAAAATTGTTAGTTTTGTGACAACTATTTGGATTTATTTAAACTGACGGTAAATTTTTGTTTTCTTGACAACATACCATTCAACATAACTTGCATGGTTGGCTGTTTGAGTTTGTTTGGTCTGATGTATGCTCTATTGTGAGACCTGTCTCTTATACACATCTAGATGTGTATAAGAGACAGTCCAAAAAATATTAGACAACAGTGGAGCCGTAGGATTAAATTATATTGAAATGATTCAATGGCCCAGATAACCTTTAGCTGATCTACTTTGACAATATAAAGATCAGCTTGTTAACAGGATTTAAAACATTTTTATATAGTATTCTGCTAATCAAAGCATTATGTTTTAAAGTGTGTGTATAGAGTATGAAGAGTCTACGATCAGTGGATGCTTTGTAAACCAAAATCGGAATACAAAAAGGGACTACCTCATGCAATGTTATAAAATAGTTTTGCACGTTCAGAAATACAATTGACATGTCGACAAGGACGCGAAGCCCTGCCCACAAAGTCACGAAAACCTTAGACAATGGCGGCTAGACTTACCGAGTTGGCGAAGATTTTCTTTGCTATCAACCTTCTTTAAGAAAGAGAATTCAGGGTAGGCGGTATGCAAATGAATCATATATTCATAGTGTTAATCTATTTCATGGATTATGGCGGGGAAATTGTTGTAAAAGCCTCTGTATTTCGCTCCCAAAGGAAGAGGGAAAAGCCGCATTTATTCAACCTTGTTGTCAGCAAAGGCCAAGTCACTGATGCTGATGCGCACTGCTCGTGTAAATCTGGGTATCTATAACCAAGCATAGACATCTAGACCTAGGCTCACGTATGTTTCGCTTTTAAACCAGCTGTCTAAGGAAATTAAAATGTCCAAGAAAAAGTTTTTGATCACGTGACTAAATGACCCTCGCTGATTAGTCAGTTTATCTGTCAATCACATCTCGTTGAGATGTTAATTCTTGGTAAACTTGGCTTGACGTGACATAGCCTTCCGTACCTAATTTAAAGTATTTATATTCATTATTTGATGAATAAAATTATTGTTGTGAATAACTAGAAACTTTTTTTTTTATTGATTAACATTTCAATACATTTAGTACCTTATTTTAATTTTCTTTATTTTTGCTGTAGAATATTTATCTTGTTTCTTGTTTAATTTTTTGTGTGCTCTTTTAAAGTTTGAAATTGTATTTTAACACAGCCCCAGGGAAGAACAGCCATTGGCTGAGTCTGGGCCACACGTTTATAAATAAATTTTATTATTATTATTATTATTATTATTATTATTATTATTATTATTATTATTATTATTATTATTATTACAGTATATTAATTGATTTACAGTAGACCTCAAAATGAGACATTTTAAGCCATTAATATAGTTTCTATACAGTAAAATGGTGTTAATGTTAAATGTGAAAAACTGCGTATAAAAAATAATAATATAAAAGGAAAATAAATGTTTATCCAACAGATTAATTGTCATAATAGAAAATATTTTGTAATTTCCCAATTAATTTACTAGTTCATCCTACCTTAAATTATAGAATGATAAGCAGATCTTTTCTGAAGTTATAAAGTCATAAGACATTGTCATCCCTTGTGAATTGGTAGATGAAAGGAAAACAAGACATGAGCTTGTAAAATTACTGAACCAAAACGCTTTCCTTTCAATATGATTATGTTTCATTAAACTATATGAACATAGAAAATTCTTTAAAAAAAAAAAACTATCCCGGATGAATTTGACATTAAAAATGAAAAAGAAAGAATGTGTCAGACGGAAATGCGCATTTAACTCTGAGTATGCTGTCAAATGGAGCAAGAGCGCCACCACGACCTGATTAACTTTAACAGCGTTAGTTTTAAAAATCTCATAGTGCGTGTAAAACTTATTTGAATGCACGGTTTAAAACATATGCACATACATACAGTACATTACAGCAATTAAATAGTGCTATTACATGAAGATCAAAGCACTCAAACCATGGAGCAGCTCATACTCCAACTTTCTGCTTCCCTAAGGGTCTCTTCATGTCTGACTTGGTAAACCGGTACTAGCTAATCTTGTCTGTTTACATAACATCACAACCAGGGAACAATTCCCTGATCACAACTAATGAGACACTCATTTATTACAATGTTACCCAATCAGTCAATGACTGAATGCCTCTAAGCAAAGCCATAGTATTTAGAGCTCTTTCTACTGACATATCTTTAAAACTTAATTATTAGTTCTATAAATGACCATAAGGTAACATTAGGTAATTCCAGGTAAGGTGCATTTGACCGCAGATCAAATTGACTTAATTGGCCTCTGGCAAATTATGAAATAGAAGTACAGGTAAACCAAGTAAGCTTTCATTGATAGTGATACAAAAAAAAACACCCCTTTTATAATAATTGATAACCACCTACTAAAGGTCTTTTATTGTATTATTTATACATCAATTAATTGGCAAGGAAAATGTTATATAATTCTAATTCTTAATTGAAAGTTTATTAACATTTAAGAATTTCAATTATTGTTTGTTAAATTATTTAGCAATCACATATGCTGTATCTTTACTATCAGAAACTTATATTTAAAAAAAAATACTTATTCTATCCACAGTGATTATTTTACTGGACCAAGGAGCTGATTTGAATACTGCTTCAGATACAGGCGTCACAGTCTTACATCAGGTAGGCCACCTTTCAATTTCTCGTAATTATTAATTCATATATTTAAAGGTAGTTTAATAATTATTGTTTTAATTAACCTATTAATTGTTTGTATTGTTATTTACTTTTGTGTAGATATTTAGAATTGCAACATGAGAGAAATCCTTATTTTTTTACTATTTATTTATAAAAATTGTCAATTATTATAATGATATAAACATTTATTTTGCATAAATCCAACAGGCTTATAAAGTGCATTTAATATTAGCCATTTGGCTCTAAGATAACCTAAAAACAACTACAAAATAATAAATAATGATAAATCAGAATTTTTTACTGTGCCAATTCAAAAATTATTAGAGGTGCCAAGTGAAAAATAAACCAGAATTTATTTATTTTGTTATTTATTTATTTCTTCTTTAACCAGGGTGGCCTGTTTAGTGTTGAACACTGCTCTCCCACAGGGCTCAGGATGAATAAAAGTTTTTAGAAAATAAGGAAGTTTTGTGATTCTTTTTGAATAAAACTAAATTTTTTAGTAATTATTTGAAACACTAATGACAACTATTATTAGTTGCATCAGTTTTTAACATTCAGAAATTGACAATATCTTGATAAAATTAATTAATCCATTAGTTGATTAGAATCTCGGTCATTTTAATTATAAATTGTGTTTCTAAGCCTGATTTTCGACACTGTTTAGTGTTTTGAATTATCAAATTTGACCTTTCATATTAGTACGTTGAAGGTCATCCGCTCAATAGACAGCCACATTGCTTATTAAAGTTAGATATCTTCTCACCAGTATGAGTTATATTAATTAATGATGATTAATAATTTTTTTAAATGATGATAGATTTTGTTTAGGACTAATAAACTTATAAATAAAATTGTATTTAATTTTAACATACAGTGTAACTTCCTCTTGAAAATTAGAACAATCAAATATTTTCCCTACCAAATGTTTTGATCCCTGTCTCATTAAAAATTTGATAACTTGATTGGTTTTAGTTTAGTTTTGAGGGTTTTTTTAGATTTGATACACACTTCTTTCATCACAAAATAACAAAATAAAACCTGTGCCTAGACTTTTTTACATAATTAAGATTATTAAATCAAGTATTATGCACCCAAACCACAATACAAATTAATACATTTATTATTATTTATTTATTATTTTCTTTCTTCATTCTGAAATACTCTTTTAATACAGTGTACTAGATTCCATAGTGATTTGGTTAATATATAAAAGTAAGAAAATATATAATAAATAAAACTTTACGTAACAAGAAGTTTTCAATTTAGAATTTTAAGTATATTCATTACTTAAACAACAATACAAATTAATAAATTAATACAGTATTATAATAGGTAATGCCAAAATATTTCCCCGCTTTTTAGTTCGCATGCAAAAGTGAATGTAGCTTTAAAATTTTCTAAAGATTTTAATACAGATGTCACTTTTTTCATCACAAAATAGTACAATAAAACCTGTGGTTAGACACTTTTTAACTTAGACTACATTTTAGATGGATTAAATCTAATATATACACTCAAACCACAATACAAATTAATATAGAAATTATTATTACTTTTTGACTTAAGAACCCAGGAGAGTGAAAAAAAAAAATTCCCCACTTTTTTTTTTTGTATGCATGAGTGAATGTTCTTTTGTATTTGGAGGACATAGGTTCGGATCTTGTCTGAGTCAGTTTGTAAATTTTGTTAATGATGTTTAGATTTGATTTCCACGTTCAATTCCTGTGTAACATCCTGTTAACTCATTCACTTGAACCTTTCATCCACTTCATAGTTCTTTCACTAATGACAAATCTCTCTTCTTTATCTCTTTATAATGATAATATTATTTATTTTGACATTCCAAGATACAATGTATAATTTCCAGGAAAGAGGCAATTAGTCCAAACAAATTTGAACTCTTTTCTTACACTATAAAATACAAAAGTAACAACATATTGCGAAAACTTAAAATTAAACTTACAAAAAATTAAGAGGGGAAGTCCATGAATAATGTCTTAAACAAATCAGTTTAAACAAAATAAGCAAACAATTGATAAATAATTCATACTAATCTATAGTGCTTGATGAGAGCAGACTGAAAACTAATTGTGATTGTTAATACTAATGTAATTTATATAGTAAATTATGTAAACACCTATGCACTTTTGCAACAGTGATTTGGTTAATATATAAAAGTAAGAAAATATACAATAAATAAAACTTGACTTAACAGAAGTTTTCAATTTAGAATTTTAAGTATATTCATTACTTAAACAACAATACAAATTAATAAATTAATACAGTATTATAATAGGTAATGCCAAAAAAAATTCCCTGCTTTTTTGTTTGTATGCAAAAGTGAATATTTTTTTGGATAACTTAATGTAGCTTTGAAATTTTCTGAAGATTTTAATACAGATGTCACTTCTTTCATCACAAAATAGTACAATAAAACCTGTGGTTAGACACTTTTTAACTTAGACTACATTTTAGATGGATTAAATCAAATATATACACCCAAACCACAATACAAATTAATATAGAAATTATTATTACTTTTTGACTTAAGAACCCAGGAGAGTGAAAAAAAAAATTCCCCACTTTTTTTTTTTGTATGCATGAGTGAATGTTCTTTTGTATTTGGAGGACATAGGTTCGGATCTTGTCTGAGTCAGTTTGTAAATTTTGTTAATGATGTTTAGATTTGATTTCCACGTTCAATTCCTGTGTAACATCCTGTTAACTCATTCACTTGAACCTTTCATCCACTTCATAGTTCTTTCACTAATGACAAATCTCTCTTCTTTATCTCTTTATAATGATAATATTATTTATTTTGACATTCCAAGATACAATGTATAATTTCCAGGAAAGAGGCAATTAGTCCAAACAAATTTGCACTCTTTTCATACACTACAAAGTACAAAAGTAACAACATATTGCAAAAACTTAAAATTAAACTTACAAAAAATTAAGAGGGGAAGTCCATGAATAATGTCTTAAACAAATCAGTTTAAACAAAATAAGCAAACAATTGATAAATAATTCATACTAATCTATAGTGCTTGATGAGAGCAGACTGAAAACTAATTGTGACTGTTAATACTAATGTAATTTATATAGTAAATAATGTAAACACCTATGCACTTTTGCAACCGGAAGTGAGATAAATTATTTAACAATTCACTACATAAATAAATAAATAAATTAATTAATAATGAATTATTAACTAATTTATTTATTTGGGAAATACAATAATTTTAAGTTTCTTTGTTCAGTTTAATTAATTAATTATGATTTTTTTTTCGCTTTCTTGTCCTTACATTTCTTGCCTCTTTCCATGTCTTATTTTCCTTTCTTTTTTTCATTTCTACCTCCTCTCTGTCTTTTCCTTTATTTCCCTATATTTTCTTTCTTTACCTTTTCTTTCTTACCTTTTCCTTCTTTTATCTTTCTATTTCTTTCATTTCTCTCCTTTCCTTTCTTCTCCTTTTCCTTTCTGATACATTCCAAGTTTAAATCTCTCATAAACCCTTGGCTGGCCTGTTTCATAAAAGGGTAGACTATAAATAAACCTATACCACAAAAAATGATCATACTGATCAGAATTAAATTTCAATATAGAGACTGAGAAATGTTCCTACAAAAGACATGGAATTTGATTTTTTGCTGACATGGATTAACCCTGACCCTACCAAGGCTAAAACCTAATAATATGATTAAATCATTAATTGATCAATGTCGCGACATCACTATTGTCCTAGTCATCTACTGAGATATGTTCAGCATTCAAGAACATGCTATGTGTATTCTACTGTATTCATTGTGTAAGGATTATAGCTATATCGGTTTTAGTACCATAAACAAGATCACATTTTTGCTTAAAAAAATAGCATTTTTTTTGTTGCTACATACTGTTACAATATCTTAAACATAATTATATCGTTTTTAATTGATGCTAATGCTATGATGTTGAAATGATTAAAAGTAAATTGCAACCTCAAACCCAGTGGTTTGTACAAAGGTCCTCATATATTTATTTCTATGTATTAAAAAAAAACCACTTAAAAAAACTCAAAAAAAACCCCAAAAAAACTAAAGAAATAGTGATATTAAACTTTTTAAACATTAACAACTGCACTTCCTGATTCTGGATAGCGTCGTTTTCTTTACAGTCTAACAGTAGTAGACTCGATGTAGTAGGCAAAGGCAGAAGATACTGTTAATTCATACTGTACATACTGAAAGTGACGCTGTCCCGTGATCGATTAGTATAAGTGAATGTTTTATTTAATTATTTTATTACAAACATTCACTTGCATTTCTTCTGGATTACCACTTCAACCACTTGTTCCTTCATATAATTATTTAATATCACAGCCATAACAGTGTCCCCCTAAAATAGGACTATAATAATCTAAGGAAAACATTAAAAAGAACAGGCAGACAAAAGTAAATAAACAATAGAGGTTATTATTTTAATTATTCATTACCAAGACATCATTAAAAGGTAGTTTGATGAATCAAGCTGTAGTTTGAAGATATTCATTATTTGATATGATTTTCTTGTGTTTTATGCATTTCTTTTTCTATTCTGTATATATTTTTCTTTATGTCCATTCTATAAAATGTATAATTCTCAATATTTCCAGCCTCTGGTCTCATGTGAAATTCTATAATTCTATTGAATATTATACCGTAATCTAAACATTTTGTTTCTAGTATGCTAACGGTCTCGGCACCATTGCGGTCAAATTCTAGTATTGGGAGACGGCATCAACTACAGGTAGAGAACGTAAAGTTCAAAGTTCAAATGCATGGCATGTTAATGAATAATATTGCTTCATTTTCGTTTGGTTTCAGTCTCATCTGCCTATTGGTTCCATCTCATCTAGGAGGCTATTGTTTTCACACATTTTTTAATATTAAATTTTCTTTTGTTTTTATTATTTTTTTATGTTTATAGTTTTACTAATATAATAGAATATTTTTTAAACAGATTCAATTTCAATTAACTTCTCCCTTTTCCCAAAAAACAAATAAATAAACAAGAGTTGTTCAGAAAAAAAAAATACTTTTAGAAAAATGTACCCCATTGCCATTTTTTCCCATTAATTTTAGGATAATTATTTTTGTTATTATGTATATAAAAAACAACTGCTAGTGCACATTCAGATTAAAATGTTATATGATTTCTTGTGGCAGACCAAATGAGTGTAACAGACATTGCAACATCAAAAATTGTAAAAAATGTCCAATTTTGATTATATGATATCTTTTACAAATGATTGTCAATTTTTTGAATAGATTCCGGTTTGATAACCATTGAGCCATCACAAGTCATTTATTGTCTAAAGATTTCCCAGTGTACCCACGCTGTGAGTCATGAGGGAAAAAAAAAGTTTGAGGGTTGTTCCTTTTGTATCAAGCACTGAGGTCGTTGTTCTCTCTTCAGTGTCACTCTAATTGGTTTTTTTTTTTTATTGTACTTGAAAACATTGATTGTCTATTTCTAGTATGCTTTAGAATATCCCATTGGTCATTCTTTGGATTTTTTTTTAAAACATCTGATTGGGTCATTGGTATTGTTTAAAGCAAAATTTGATTGGTCCATTCTTGGTACATTTTAAGCTGTCTGATGGTATTGTAAACACTCTGATTGGTCCATTCTTGGTTACAATGTTCTGATGGATACTTCTCATTTCTGAAGATGTTTAATCCTTGTTTCATAATTACTGTACAGTATTTAAGATGTTCTTGCAAATGAGGCATTTTATGAGAAATACATTTTTGGAGATCATATTATAGGCCTACTTAACTGTTTTAAATCTAGAATTGTGTGTTTTTTTGTTTTCATTTTTTCAGCTTAATATTAATGTTTTTGTGAGATTTATTTTTTGGCAGATTTTTTTGCAATAGTTTGATGTATTCTGGAGCTGAAAGAAAGTTAACTTTTAACTTGTGCTTTGATAATTTCATTTCATTATAATTTAGTTCTCTTCCCCCACCCTCTCCGCCTTCAATTTAGCAATATTTTATAAGCAGTGGGGCCCAGGATTTGCCTTATGGGGGTTCGAGTTCCCAAACAAAAATAAGTGGGCGTGGGTGGGTGTTGCTCAAAATCTCTTGAAAGTGTTTCAAGGAGGCGAAACTCCCGAAAAATATGACATTTTAGAGGTTTCAAAAACTATTTGTTCGATTTTTAAGTCTACTAATATGTAGAAAATACATACATTTTTTTTCTCCCCGATGAATTGTGGTTTTTCTCCCTGACGGCCCGCCCTGGCTCATTATGAATGAATAGCACAGAAAGTAAAAATATAGATAAGGTGAAGAAGCAGATGATCCATACCTTTATACATGGTCAATGTCTTATTTTATATAAGGTTCTTTTTCAGTAGAAGTAATCACAGACAGTAGTAGTCACTAGTATCAGCTGTTATTTGTGTCATTTTCATGATCCAGTATGGGTGTGATTCTCATTTCATTATTTAATAGAATGACCACTGTATCCGCTATTCAAGACAAAAGTTTCATATTGCATTACATTGCATTATTCTCCCTTCCTTTTCTATTCTGTTATATTATCCACCCCCTCTTCCAATTATAGTAACTCAACATTTGCTCTTAAAAGTCTATTTTTCTCCTCCATCATATTTTTTTTATTATACATTCTAAATGTCTACACCCATCATCTTTTTAAATTGATGGCATATTTTTTAATGAATTACTGTATGTGTATTTTTCTTTCTTTATTCTTGTTTAAAAATGTTACCCTTTTTCTCTCCTTCTACATCTTTAAGTATCAATATTCTTTTGTAGGGCTGTACAGTTATACTTTATTTTATCCAGATATCAACCTCTTTCTTGTTAGTTATCGTAATATTTAGGGCTTGTATTTCTACTGTAGTTACCATATCAATTTCCGGATTTCAAAGCAAAATTCTATATTGTATAGATCTATCATGGATTTCTTAATGCAGCTGTGATTTAATTTGTGTACCTCATTGTTCAGCATGTTTCTAAATTGAATCTTTAATATTGATCCTATAGTTCTAGCTTATAAAATGTGTAGATTTTCTTTAATTGAGTACATCCTTTAGAATTAATATTTAAATGTAAATCTTCAAATCGTAGCACCTGTAAAGAAAGCATTGACATAATATTTGATTTTTTAACTGTTGAAAAAAATTAAGTTAATGTATAGTTGCAATATAAATTGAATTTTTTAAGAAAATTAAAACTACTAGACAGCACTGAAAATACTGAGTTACTGGTCCAAAGGCTTTAATTATGAATTTGGCCCATAAAAACAAAAAAACAAAAAAAAAGATGATGAAAAGTAATACCTCTTTAATTTAATTTAATAGTTCTTTAAAGTATACTAGCCCTTTAATTGTATTATTTCATTTGAATAGCTCAGGCGGAAAATCATAATGTAATAATAAATTCTTAAGTGAATTCTAGTGAGGTTCTAAGTAGAAACAATGACACTTCATATGTTCACTTAAATTGATTACACCAAATGGTGCTTTCTTATCAGCTGGCATTGTAGTCGTGCTCAGTATATTCTAGCCGAGCAACGAGTTTGTGTAGATTATTGTATCATAACCAGTAGAGGTTAAAGTTCTGAGGATGTTTAGATTTTTAAGAAGTATGAATGTTGTTTTTTGAGCCATTTATGCACATGATGATCTGATGATTAACACCAAAGCAACTTAGTTTGAACAATTGATATTTGTTGTTAATATCCCCTGTGTCCTAATGTTTCTGTACTTAATTGTCATCAGTCACAAATGTGGAAGAATTTAAGGAGTAACCAGTGATCCTACAAGTCATCCATATCGTGACTTGATCTATTTATTTTTGCAGTTGTCAATCAGGGTGAAAGAAGGGGTAGCGAGAGGGGTATTGTTTTATCCTGCTTTCAATTATTTTGCTCTTGTGACGGATTAGATGACAGGGTGTTATCACCATCTTTCTTCCAACTTTCTCCTTATCATGCCACTGTTGTCAAATAGCATAACAGAAGAGGTACCGTAGATCACAGGTACAGTGATGGTCAATTTAGAAGGAAACTTTTGGAATAAAAGAATACTTCAAAACTACCATTCATCATTGAAGACCTATTGAGCATCTAGTTGAGGAATTTGTTGGCATGTTTTCAACCATGCTTTGATCTAATTTTTATGTTGTTTTTATGTGAGTACTGTATTTGAATTGGAGCACCATTCTGGCAACATGGTTTTAAGATTCCGCAATACCACCAGAAAGCATTTTGAATGGATTGCTTACTTCTTGTTCCTTATTTCAAAAGATAGCAACAAAACTTGAACAAAGTTAAATCTCTGCTTTGTCGGTAATGCTACCTGAGGTGAGACTTAAACCATAGAAATCAGGTGCCAGGAAGTATCGGCAAGGTTTTGGGATATTTTTGAATTCATAAAAGAGGACAAGAAAATACATTCCATTGTTACATTTTGTTAAATTTTATTTTGAACAACCTGTGAATAAACTGTTTTTGGATAAAAGGGGGAAAAAACATGAATTCTTCTATTTCTGTTATGGAAACAGTGCCACTTTCGGTTAGTTATTAGCCATTTTTTCCTCATTTATTTAACTGATACTTTAATTATTATTTTCTTAATAATGAAGAGTCATATAATGTTTTGCATAAATTTTGTTTTGTTTGTAAAAATGTATAACACTATACTACTTGCCTTCAACTAATGATTTTTAAAAAAAATTTTAAGTTCATAACAATATATAGTGCAAATTTTGAGCCCCTATTTCTTGCATGAAAAGGATCCAAATTGCATTCATTAGAGGGGAAGCAGAAGCAGTACTCTCCCCCACACCTTAAATACTTTCTTCAACCCTATTTATTTATTTATTTTTCTTCTTATTGAGTCTATTCATGAGTTCATACTCTGTGGAGCCATGTTTGTTTACTTCTAAAAAACTCAACATTGCGACTCTCACGTCTAGTGGTGAATGGATTGGTAAAATCAGGGCTGCGACGTGAACGCTTCTTTCTTGTTCCCTTTTATTTATTTATTTATAACCATGATTAGAAAGAAATGGAAGGTACTGTTTCCCTTATACCATACCACTCATGCCATATATACAATCATAATTTTTGAGAGGAGGATAGTATACAAATATTGACTGCTCATGAGGGGAATGGAGAAATCTATTGCCCCAAGATGATGTGAGACCGTGGCCTATCTTCGCGAGGGCTGAAGAGGAAGATAGGCTATGGTCTGCACATCACCAAGGGGCTATAGATTTCACCATTTCACCAAATCTTGAGCAGTCAATATTTGTTTTATATACCTCATACAGATTTTACAAGACCTAAAAAAGTATTGAAAAGAGTACACACCAAGTAGGCCTAGGCTTACTTCTAAGGGCTAGACGATCAAAGTGCCAAATCTCTCTCCTCAGCGTCTTAGAGGTCGAGTCCCCTTTACTATCCGTGCGTGTAATAAATTACATAGCAATGTTATAGGTGAAGGCCTAGAGATTACACGTTGCAACAGGGCAAAAAGTACTATCATTTATGGTGACAGTACTTTTCTCTTGGGGGAAAAAAATGAATTATCATTAAAATCTACGTCATAGGAGTGATGATTAAAGTTATTGGCAGCTTCTTAACCAATCAGATTCTTAGAGTGTGTGGTATATAATACCAGCCAAATGATCATTACAATGATTTTTGGAAACCAGCTGACTAATGTCTTCAATATTTTCAGTGCTGTATTGATGACAATCTGTCTGTGGCCGAACTTCTGCTCCAACGAGGCGCCACCGTTGATCTCAGAGATGATGACTGGTGGACCCCACTGCACACAGCTTGTGCGTGTGAGAATACTGAAATTGTAAACCTTCTTCTTAATGTAAGTTCTTAAGCCCTGTTCAGACTAACAAATTTTATTTGGCAAAAACATGCGACATACCTAAATATGGTCATGATGACATCACATCACTACCATATATGGGCACATCATGACTAAATATGGGCATACAGCAAATTTTTGTCAAAGAAAATTTGATAATCTGGACTGAGCAGTACATTTAAAGAATTATAATTATTTATACTGGAACAAAACCAACATTCATGCTTTTGATATTTGAATATATCTTAGAGATATTGCTTTGCAGATATACATATTAATACAATTAAAAAAATGATGATAGCTTTCTTGATATACAAATGTTTGTTTACTGTAGAATGGAGCAAATGCTAGGCTTATTGATATTGATGGGAACGCACCAATTGATCATACTCCATTGGGTAGCGAGACTCGGCAAGTTATGGAACAGCATATGAAAACGCTGGGTTGGTATCATTTTATTAATATTATTATTATTTAGTTTATGTTTTTATATCATGGAAGAAACTGATCAGTATTCCTATATCATTATCATCATCATTACAACTATTAAGCATTATTATCATTTTTATTGCTGTCATTATCATTCATTAAAATATATTGTGTATTTCTTAAAATTTGTTTGATAAAAAAAAAATGTAATCATCATCATTAAGTCTACTCTTATCATCGTCATCATCAACGTTATCATCATTGTCACCTTTTTTTCTCTTCAGCGTTATTCTTATTACTATTAATTATTGTTTATTAATAATATTATTATTAATTTTATTTAGGTTACACTGATGAAGAACTGAGAAACATCAAGAACCAGCCAGCACATGACATGCTGTCAGAGGTCAAAGAGTTCATTAATTCAAAAGGAAATATCAATGCAACCACTGACTCTGGTATCTCGTTAGTAAGTGTAAAAATTGTTATTAACATATTCTAATAACAAACATTTATGTAATTATTTTCAAATTTTGTGAGCACTGTTAGAAAATAGTTGTTGAATTGAGATGTATAAACTTCCTGGTGCTCACCAGGTAGTGAAGATAATTATTGAAGTAAATAGTGGCTCTTACAGCCTTTAATTTCAAACAGTGTCCGAAATATCGTGAAAATACTACTTACTGTATTTAGCCTATTTTCTGCTAAAGTCTCATTGGTCCTTTGTTAACAAATGTGTTTGAACACCAGATTCAGTCAGTCAATTAATCAATCAATCTATAATGCCATATTGGTTTACAATATATTCAGTCAGAATATCACAACCAATCCTGGAATAGAAAAATTCAGAATATATTTTATTTTTAAATAGGTTGCTAGATAAATACTGCTGGCCTATTTTAAACTATCAATTGAATGAAAAGACCAGTTCATTAATTTAATTTGTCATCTCCTGCTGTTATTATTCCGTTCCAAAAAAATATTTAACACATTACCATATGAATGTATTTGGACAAATGGTTCTTTTCTAAAAATTATTATTATAACATTATAATTAAAAACATTTCAATTTGCAGATGCACATTGCTGCAGCAAATAACTATCGAGATGTGGTTTGTTTGCTGTCTGAGCACAAAGTCAACATGAACCTCCAGGACGATGAAGGCTGCACACCTCTACACTTGGCTTCAAAATTTGGCAACACAAGAATGGCCAAATTACTGGTGAAGAATGGCGCCAACCCGCTGATTGAGAACAATGAGGGTGACAAACCAAAAAGTAAACAAAAATCTGAAAAATCGTTTCTTAGAAACATGCTTGGATATGTTTGTTTATGTTAGGAAGGTCCTCTTAAATTTTCTGTAAAAAAATAACTAAACCAAAAAAAAAAAAAAAAGAGGGGGGATGGTTTTCTTGTGTACTGCCAAATCACCACCAGAAGGACCCCACTAGAAAAGACTTCTTTAGACTTTTGTGGTTCATCATTGGTCTTAAGTCAAAACATGAGTATAGGTAAAAACATCCCAGTTCTCAAATCATTTTTGTTCTGCTGCTGACCTCTGCCCTGTATTTTTTAGATGTTGCAGCAACTGATCTGATAGAAGATATTTTAAAAGTAGCAGAGCAGGAGTACAGACCCAAGGTAGTGAAGCCAGTTAAAGTTGACGAACCAATATATGACTCTGCACTCTACGAAGACACAGTTTCTCTACTGAGACTTAACAGCAAGTCAATGTAAGCTACTATAATTATATACAGTATATATATATATATATATATACCTGGCAACTTATTACCATATCTCCGGAGTTTTTGTTTTTTCTATCTTGTTTGCCAATGCAGCCCTCCAGTTTATATACTGTCTCTTATACACATCTAGATGTGTATAAGAGACAGTATATATAGAAACAGGAGGAAGAAGAGGATGATGATGATGATTATGTGTATAGAGGATTTATTATACCCAAGGAAAAGGAAGCGGTGAGTGTTGTGTACATACTGTATTCTATAATGTTCCAAGAAAAAATGTATTACTTAAAGACATAGCAAAAAATATATGGATATATAAAGTATATTTAGTTTATGTTGGCATCTACGATACAGCAGGGGTCCCAAGTCTCTGTGTAATTGGGATGGCCTCCTGCACTTCCACAAGTAAGCAAGAATTTCCGGGAAAATAACCGATCTCCTGCCAATTCATAATATTTACATGCTTTAACTACTTTATTATCAATTGTGCCATGGAAGTCAGTGCTGATGGGTATCACAATGTGCAGCAAAATAAAATTAAATATATTAAGAAAGAAAGCTCATTTAACTAGATCTAATGGAAGGGATTTCTTGCAAATTCGGACCCCTGTGTAGAAGAAAATAATACAAACCCCATTTCCACCTCATTTTGGAACAGTCCACAGTCTGGTCTTTTCCTTAGTGGTGTTTGCCTGAAAGATACTAAATTTGTTCGCTACTTTTCATTATTATAGTTACTTAAATATATTTGCAGCACCACATAAAGGATTTTTATACAATCTTACTACATGACAAGAAAGTTATTATCATGTTAGTTTGTTATTTCTTATGTTTGTTATTGTTTAATAATAATAATATTACTATCTATCTGCTAGTGTATTTTTGTGTCTACATCCCCATGGGGGGCTGTAGACACTTAGCTATCATCTCACTTGTAAGTTGTAAGAGTAAACCCAGTTAGGAGGAATGGTGGAATGAGTGGCATAAACTAAAGATAAAAATGAAAAGTCTAGTAGAAGCCTACAAAATATGATACCCATGCCTAGATGAGATCTGTCCTATAAGAACTAAAAAGTCAACAATCTGTAACTTGTACAGTTACTTAAGTGAATTGCCAACACAGAAAGGGTGGATTGATTATGAGTTAAAAGTAACCACAAAAAAATCTATGTCAAGTTGTAGACACTGCTCCTGCTGGGAGGGAGCCTATTTTTGTATCTTACAGTAATTATGTAATGATGTTAATGATTCAGTTCTACATGAAGTTTTAATAAATATTATCAAATTAAATGTTATACCATTACTATGATGATTGTTTTTTTTTCTTCCAACTGTAAAAACTATAGGGATTCCTTCCAAAGCCGAGCCAAACAGATGACATTGCTTCTTTGCCAAACCTTACACAAAATACCTTACTACAAGAACTGATGTTACGTTACAGCAAGGATCAAATTTATGTAAGCTGATTATCATTTCAATCTAGTAATTGATTTAAATTGTGTTATTCATTTCTTTTAAAGTAACCTTTAATTTGAGGCCTGTGTAACAGATCTTTTTTAATGACAGTTTGTTCAGACTGCGACTTACAATCGGCAGGCAGCGTCGTGTCGTCTAATGCTCAAACGGAGCAGAGTTGGTTCGAACAACTGCCGTACGAAGCAGTGTGTGTTTGGCTTGAATATGTCAACTAGTTTCAAAAACTGCTACTTTTGCTTTACTTCCAGTTACAAAAATAGAATAAAAAAATACTATCACAGATTAATAATAATGTTTTAATGTTTTTTTGGCATTAATGCAAACTATTAACACTGAATTGTTGCAATCCGTGTTTTATTTGACATTGATAACTTTTATTTTTTTGTTTTTTATACAAAGAATTTCAATTTTAATTAAGGCATTGTTTTTGAAATTAAATCGTTTCTACTCAATTTAGTTCAACTGGATACTAACAACATTCTCAAATGTACCTGTTTCTGCATGTTTTGCCATAGACAGTATATGTAAGTGATTGTTTCATTATTTAATAATGAAATAATCATTTATTGTTTGATCATTGATTAGCAACATTAATCTTTTAAAATAGCAAAACTAGTTTTTATGGAGTTCAAATAAATTACCATCTAAAAATGAAACAAAGGAAAACTTAATAATTCAAAGAGGAAGGAAGATAAAATGAAAAGAGAGTTAAATGTAAGATAAGAAATTATGTTGACATGAGTAATTAGAAACAGTAGAATAACAATGTAATATTGATTTTAAAAATAATAAAAAAGCTATTTTGCCTTTTTTTCTTAAAATGAATAGAAAATAAAGAAAATGTTTGCTTAGCATATATTTTGAATAAAAAACAAACACTAAGATAACAAATATATTCTGATCTTGGTATAGAATGACATTTTAAATAAGTAATACATACCTGTATTGCAGAACCATTTTCTTCATTTTTTTCAGACGTACGTTGGTGATATTTTGATATCTGTGAATCCATTTAAAGACCTCCCTGTCTATTCCAAAAGCATTTCTAAACAGTTTGAAGGCATTCAAGATAGAAGTAAACTTTCCCCGCATATCTATGCAGTCGCGGACCGTGCCTTTCAGATGTTGGTACGCGAACAGAAGTCTCAGTGCTGCATCATTAGCGGCGAGAGCGGGTCGGGAAAAACGGAATCTTGCAAATATTTTGTTCAGCATCTATTGTGGTCGGCTCAAAGTGATGAGAATTTCTTGAATAATAAAATACAACAGGTAAGTTCAATTGTTGTTTTAGCTTTAATTTAAGCTCTTTTCACACTATTGCAACAATATCAGCACAGGTTCGCGGCCGGCTCACTCCTATAGTTCTGGTGGTGGAACAAGTCTTCTCGGATAAGTACTATAAACCGTAGGACAAGTGTACACAAATGCTCATGTGCACTTTAAAGAACCCAGTACACCTTTCGAGACGAGTAGGAGATTACCCCAGTGTACTGGTTCATTCAGCCCCTGTCGTGGACAGATGAAAATGCGCCAGTTAACCGGCTGCAGAGGATATTAAGTGACCCTCAGGTGAGGAGAAAGTTATTGAAAAGTGCAACATTTAGTCCACGACAGCACAAGCAACGATTGTTGGAATGGCACATTATAAATGGAATGATTTGTTGTTTTTTTTTTAAATTTTTTTTTGTGACAAACATACATGATTTTCTTAGATATGGGCATATTTACGTCATAATTATATCATACTTCACTCATATATGGGCGAATCACATACATTTCTGACATAAATCTATATAAAATAATAAAACAAAATAAAAGTGTGTATATAAGTAAAGTAAGTCCTTGCCAAGCAACTAGGACCCATACGGCTAGAGCTTATCCCTAGTTTTTGTAGCGTGAAGCAGATAGGAGTGTGAAGCTCCACATGGCTGGGATGCTAGTTCACTGCAGATTACTCCTACCAGTTTGCAGGTACCCATCTCACAACTAAAAACATCTCAACTCTCTAAACCTCATAATGAGGCATTAGGATTATGTCTTCCATTTAAGAGCAAACCCTGAATAAATCTAATTGTGCTATTTATACAACCTTTATATATATTGTTGGCCATTGTGGTATTACAGGATGTGCATGACCAGAGGTTACTGAGTACAAAGATTCTACAGGTAGATTGAAGTGTAACACACACTCTTATCACATGATTTGTCATACACTCACTCTTGATCACATGACATCACCAAGTTTGTTTCTGATCACATGATTGGTCAGATGATTTTATCACATAATAATGTGTCACATGATATCGCCAAGTTTGTTTAGAAACAAACTTGGCGATATCATGTGACACATTACATTGATATGATCAGAAGTGATCATATGGTTTGTCAAATGATTTAAACAAATTTATCTGATCACATAATTTGTCACATGATATCACCTCATGACATTTCATAGTACATTTGTGTTCCATCATTAGCTCACCCCTGCTTTACCAAAGTCTTGTCCTCATCTTTTAATCCTTCCACCAATGACTTAACTACCTCATCAGTACCTACCCATGTCCCATTAGATATTGCTTTTTCCAGTCTCACCAAATCTCCTCTTTTACCACTTACTACAGTCTCATCCTTGTCTTACCTACGCTCATCCTTGTATTACTATCACTGATATCAAACTGTCAATATGTTTGACTTGAATTTAAAGAAAGTCAGAGATAAATATCAAGCTAAATCCATTAAGTTACTGTGTGTCCTCTATTTATTAACTTCTCTATTTGCACCTTGTTCCTGCTTAAGCTTACATTAATTTTCATTAATATTCATTTGTTTTTATGTATGTAATTTAATTTCATTCACACCTTACATAGGCTAATCTATAGCTCTGCCTTTTCATTCATCAGTATGTCAAGGCAAATGTTGTAATGGATCATTCCGGAGTGTTTATCAAACTTAACAAGAGACCTATCAGAACAGAGCCAGAATGTACTCTTGTCCTATGGGAAACATGTTTAAAAAAAAATGATATCCCACAAATGCATGTGCTTATGTATGTTTACACTGTTACTTTGTGGGATCTAAGTAACATTTTACAAGGGGCGGGGCTTAGCAGCCTATTACATGGTGCTATAAAAATTTGGAACATCTCAGTACTTTTAAGTAAAGATACGTGTAGGTCATGTAACATGCTTGACTGCCTATAAAAAAAATACCTTTCATCATCATCAAGCTGGCATTTTGGATTCAACATATAATTAACATTATGCTTTATGTACTTGCTGAATTTTCAATTAATTTGTGGCAAATTAAATACATACCATTTCTGGTATGTCATTTGCATATGCAAGCATCTGCCATTTTATTTTATGCTATAAATTCATATTAAAATTACAAAATGTTTGTTGCTTTTGTTGTTAAGGTTAACCCACTGTTGGAGTGTTTTGGTAATGCACAGACCATTATGAACGACAACTCAAGTCGGTTTGGAAAGTACCTTGAAATTCAATTCAGTAACAATGGGCACGTGCAGGGAGGTAAGTCTTGTGATCATACTGATATACTCGCAATGAATAATGAGGAAATGTATCTCACAAAAGTATGAATGAATTAGTTAAACTCACAAGAACTAGTGATTACTGTACTAATGATTCTGATGCAAGTATTAGGTATTAATATTACTATTTCTATATTTTTTTCTGGAGAAAGAATTTTGGAGCCTAACACATAATTTGACTTAATACCAATACAGATGTGGATTATAAATTAAATTATGTTTTAGACGCCACAACTTTTTTGTTCTAGCAAATGAAAATAAAATTTGATACCGTTAAATGTAAAAAGAACATGCAGAATATGAAATGTAATGCATTCAAACATTAGTTAAAAGTCATGTGTTATTGAATATTTTATGTTTTTTTATAGTGAAGTTTTATTTCCTAATAAAGTTATTGGTTAGATATATTTACTTGTTTTATATTGAAACGTGTATGTGAATTTGTTCGCCTCAGCAATAGTTAAACCATACTAAATTAAAATGCATGATACATAATTATTCATTACGTTGATTAACGCTTGAAGCCTGGCACAATATTTCTTTGATGTGGTTGTCAAAAGAGACTTAACCAATAACTGTATTTAATCTGCAGCCAAGATTTCCGAGTATCTGCTTGAGAAATCACGTGTTGTGTATCAGAACGAAGGTGAAAGGAATTTCCACATATTTTACTTGATGTTCAGTGGCCTCTCACCGGATGAGAAGAAACGATATTCACTAGACAAACCATCCAGACACTAGTAAGCACATTTTAGATTTTATTGAATCCTACATAGTTTGGTTATATTAAAAAATGTAAAAATAATAATTTCATTTACTTAGTTTCGATTTTACTCCTATCACATGGACATGTAATATGTCTTTAACATGAACATATAAATATAAATATTTTTTTTTTTTTTGCTATTTTGTCTTATTAATGAGGTAGTCTCTTTGTACAAATGTGTTAACTACTATTTTTCTTTATAATTTCAGCTATCTGCGTAATACTACAGATGTTAAGGACTTGTCATCAACAAAATATGTGGAGCGCTTTTTTGGAGTCAAGGATTGCCTTCATATGATTGGCTTCACACATGATGTAAATTTTCACAAGTTTTACAATAAATGAAAAAAAAAACAATACATTATTACATAACCTCACCATTATGATTATACCATATATAATTATTAGTAGTGTGCAAGCAGTTGGTACAGCAGTTGAGCTTTCTTTTCTCAACCATGAGGTTGGGGTTCGAACCTTCACTGTGCATTTTAATTGTGCCCTTATACAAGGCACTTTACCTACATTTATCTCTCAGGAGTATGAATGAGTTCCTTTGCTGAAATATATTGGGGAGGATAAAAAAGGCGATGTGGATAGGAACCAGCCATCCTACCACACAGTGTCTAGGCTTAAATACTGTACAATTGGCTCCTAACTGCTCATTCCCCTACGTTCAATAATGAATATGGGACTACTTTTACCTGTTTTAGTAATTGTATCCTAATTATCTAAGTTATACTCAGTAGTTGATTCAAAACTGAACATTGTCTTGCAGGATGAGGATAATCTGTTTCGAATTTTGGCTGCCCTACTGCACATTGGCGATCTTGAGTTCAAGAAATCAGAAAACTCTGACGCTGCCATCATTGCCAATCCTGATGTGTTGGAGATTGTTGCAGACTTCCTTCAGGTGCCTGCAGATGATTTGGAAGCAGCCATCGTTTCAGAGTCAAACTTTGTTAGAGGTGAGCTTTTCTAAAGTGGCATTGCTTGAAGTTTATGTCATAATTATGCTTAAATAAATATAAACCTCCTGACTTATCCAATGTGTGATTGGTTAGTATATCTTGCACAATGCCTCGTTTATATGCAATAGGTCATGAACCACTTAGAAATAGGATTAACGTGAATCCTTCATTGTCGCTCTCGACACTTTAGTCTTATACAACCCGTCCTCTTTATGGGACTTTGGCACAGTGAACAAAAACCTAATTGGTGTACCAGTAACATGTGTTCAGAATTTTGGGATATATTTCTGTTAACATTCTCAAATTTCATCTGCAGGTGAGATGATTAAGAAGGAGAGGAATGTGGTGCAGGCGTGCGATTGTCGGGATGCATTGGCCAAAGCCTTGTATGGCCGTCTTTTTAGTTGGGTTGTCAACAGCATCAATCAGCTTCTGCAGCCCTTAGAAGATTCACCAGCGTCACTGGATGTTGGAGTCCTCGACATCTTTGGTTTTGAGAACTTCCCAAAAAATAGCTTTGAGCAGGTACTTTTGGTTAAGAAAGGAATATTTTAAATATATTGTTCATATTCTCTACTTTAATATCTAAAAACATAGAGTTTATAGAGTATTTTTTCCATCCTAATGGGAAAATCCAAGAGTGTATACTACTTGGCCTCATAGCTCAATTGGTAAAGCGTCCAGATGCTAATCGGAAGGTCTTGGGTTTAAATCCTGATGGGGACAATAACATTTTCTCAAAAATTTATTCTCTTTTTTCTATCCTGTAATAGGCAAGTGTATTTGGATGTTCAAGAAATTTTTAATAATTAAAAAAAAGTGCCTCATCCAAAGACACAACAAGTATTCAACCTCAGACTTGAACCTGTGCCCTATTGGTTTGAAGCCAAAGACTCACTGTTATGTCATGTCTTTTAGTTGCTATGTAATAAATTGCTATTATTACAAATTTTAAGATTAAAATAAATATTTATTTTTCTTATAGATTTGCATCAATGTTGCAAACGAACAACTTCAAACTTTCTTCAACCGTCACATTTTCCAATTGGAACGACAAGATTGTGAGAGTGAGGGTATCAAAATGGAAAATATCAAGTTCACTAACAATGAGCCTATTGTCAACATCTTTCTACAGGTAACTGCCACAGTTGGAAACATAAATTTTAAATTTTTTTATTTTTTTTATTTTGTACTTTTGAAATATAAAATCAAAGTCAGTTTTAATTCATTAGATTAATATAATATTCAATTGATTAATTATCTGTAACTAATATTATTTATCATTATTTAAAAATTAATTTAACTAATTTTAAATTTTTAGAAAATGTATTTGTATTAATATACCTTAAAACCTCGAATTGAAGCCCTGGGCTTCGTTTTTTTTGCCAACTTTGGAAGGCCTTCTTTTCGAGATGGGCTTCTTTTCGAGGCTACTCTTGCAAAGTAAAGAGGGGAGCTTCTTTCCAAAATGAATGCTTTAAATTTTGTGAATTTGTACTATAAAACAATTAATAAGGCCACTGTAACATCAATGTGTATCATGGAGTGTATCTATAACTGGCATTAAAATACCTAAACTACTGTATAAACCAAGCTTGTTCTTAATTTATTTTGTTTAAAAAAAAATTAATGTACAGTGTATGTACTGTACTATCTCAAAAGGAAGCCTTTGCTATCTTGAAAAGAAGCCCATGGCATACTAAAAAGGGGGGCTTGAATTTGAGATGGGCTTCATCTTGATATTAAGCCCACTGGGCTTCAATTTGAGGTTTTACGGTATGTATATTTTATTAAAAATAATTAATTTATATTTTTTATTGATTTAATAAATATTAGTGATGTTTCATTTTCAGAAACACACAGGTATTTTTGCAGTTCTTGATGAAGAGAGCCATTTCCCGAAGGCAACGGACAAATCACTTGCCCAAAAGCTACATAGTGGTCCAGGGACCACTGGAAAGGGCATCTACTTTATCCCTAAGGACAAGGGAACCACATTCCAAATACTTCACTATGCTGGCCAGGTAAAACATGTGCACCTAAAAATGGGCGTTAAGATAGATAAAATTGTTTTCAGGACCACAAAGCAAGGTACATGAAATTTGGTTTCCCAGATGCTTAAACTGCAGTACATAAATAATACAATATAAATACTATTTCTGAAGAGTTGAATACGAGTTGAATTATAAACAAGACATCCTGCATCGTGTTGTCTTGCAGAACAAGAAAAAAACACAATGTCTAAACATAGAACAACAACAGAACAATGTTTCCATACAATCAGTACTTGTTTTCGCTGACAGCTTTAGGTGATGCTGATTGGTCGGTCGAGCATTTTTGCACAATACAACGATTGCACTGAAAACACTGAAGGGATAGTCTAGTGATTTTCAGGAAAACAAGGCTGTATTGCTCTTTTTATGTTTAAGTTTATTTTTACCTGTTTCCTTTTTTTATGTTTTCTTTGCTTCAGGTGAAGTATGATTTAACAGGTGTGTTAGAGAAGAATCGTGACACACTACCAAAATCCATCCTGTTCACTATGAAAAGTAAGTCATTCAAATATTGTACAATTAACAACATTTAATGCATAAATTCCTTATACCTTAATAAATAATAACCTGAATAAGTCTTGAAGGTTTGCATGACGAATTGACAATAATTAATTAAAGGTTTTCAGTACACCATGTGGCTTATGCTACAATCTAAATTGATTGTATTTGGTTCTAATAACTTGGTATTATTTAATAAGTTATTAGAAAAGTTGTGTATCATACATTATGTGGAAATATCACAATCTAAATTGATTGTATTTGGTTCTAATAACTTTGGTATTATTTAATAAGTTATTAGAATAGTTGTGTATCATACATTATGTGGAAATATCAAATTACTATGAATATAAATTATTTCTAAATATTTTTCATTACAGCGAGCAACAGCTTGGTAGTGCGTGAGCTTTTCCAAGGCCGATTAACGCGCACAGGGTCACTAGCTCCCAGCGCTAGGCAACGGCAATCAAGGAAGTCTCAAAAGGATACCCATGATGCTTTTGAGTTTTTCAAGAAAAAAAAGGCACCGGAGGTAGCTAGGAAGGTGGGTTGGCAGCACTTGCTATGGTTTTACAGAGATCAAGTCATATATGAATAATGACTATGATAATAATATGACAATCGATTATGATTTGATGATCTTGTTGATGGTGAACTGTTATATTGTAGTGGTGATATGGTAATTTGGTTAGTGATTATTAGGTGATGATAGACATGGTATAGTGATAATGGTGGTGGAGATAATGATGATTAGGATGGTGATAATGATGATGATATAATTGCAAAGATGATAAAAGATGATGATGGTGTGTTCATTTGCTGATGATGGTGTTGATATTAATGAGGATGATGACGACAACGGCGGTAGCAATGAAGGTGTAGTTGGTGATGACGAGTGGGGTAATAGTGGTGGAGATAATGGTCATTAGGCTGGTGATAGTGATGATGATGTAATTAAAAAGATGATAAAGGTGTTGATGGTGTGTTCATCTACTGATGATGGTGTACATATTAATGATGATGATAGTGGTAGAGGGGGTGGTAGAAGCAATGGAGGTGTAGTTGGTGATCATGAGTGGGGTAATAGTGGAGGAGATAATGGTGATTAGGCTGGTGATAGTGATGTAATGATGATGTGTTGATCTACTGATGATAATGTAGCTATTAGTGATGGTGATAGTAGAAGTGGTGGAAGCAATGGTGATGTAGATGGTAATGATAATAGTGGGGGAGATAATGGTGATAATACAATACAATAGTACAATAGTTCCCCTATTAAAGACAATAAAGATGATTGTTGATGGTAATTGCATATTAACCATACACCATTTATGATAAATCTCTGACTAGGATTGATTTTGCCATTGTTTTTGTGTTTCTAAATGTTGTATACTAATCTGTATATGACAGCCAACAAGGTCATTCTGGATTTTGTTAATAAGTGAAATAATATGGTAAACGAAATATATATATTTTTCTTCTGTAGCCTATGAAGAAGAAAGGTCCACCAGTGATTGGAACTGAGCGAAAGGGACCAGCAACGGTCGCGTTCCACTTCAAGGTATTCAAATAATCATTATTATCCTCATCACCATCATCTACCATCATCAATTTCTATCTTCAGAGAGAGGAGCTTAGCTTAGTCAGCTAAACTGGTGGTAGCCACTGTGTGTGTGCTGAACTGTAGAGATCTCTAGGTCCCCTGTCAATTCCCATCTCTGCTCTCCTTGTATTTCAGCTAGAGAGAACTCAGTGCACTCTTAGGAAAAGAATAGGGGATTGTCTCCCAGTGTACTGCCCAATCACCACTAAAAGGACCCTACTGGAAATATGTCTTCTTCAGGCTTCCGTGGGTTATCCTTGGAGTTTACACCAAATTAAATCTTTCTATCTATCAATTCTACTAGTTACCATTAGCATCTAACAGTTTGTATTATTACCATTCATTTTTTATTTCTTCATCAGAATTCATTGGCTGAGCTGATCTTGAAGATGTCCAAATGTTCACCTCATTTCATCCGTTGTATCAAACCAAATACCTCAAAGAAAGCAGATAAGTTTATCCCTGAGTATGTGATTGCCCAGATGCGTTACACAGGTATCATGGAAACAACACGTATTCGGCAACAGGGCTTTACCATGCGAATAACATTTGATGACTTCTTGTCCAGGTAAAAATCCCGAGAAAAAATAACTCATTAGTTGTGCACTGAATTATTGTTATTAACTCATATTACTAGCTTTACTGGATTTCTTTAATAATATATTAAATTTGAAGTAAAACTGGATTAATAAAATAAATAGTAATAAATAATTGTAATGAATCAAATAGTATAATAATTATTATTAATATGGACCTGTCAATAGGGGGGTTATCTGCCATTTTCACAAGAATACGCAGCATATGCCGGGGGAGGGGGTCAGCAGTGTACTGTAGTTTACTAATAGGAAAAAAATTGATAGTAAGATGACAACAGTCATCATATTTACTATGTATTCTTTTGCGGTGAGCGATAAGCAATTAAAAAGATTAAGTTTTGTACTCTTGAAAATTATGAAAAAATAGATGACTTTAAATGTCCACTGACTATCCATTTTTTAATACTGTGTTAAGTAGAATGCCTAACAGATTAGGGTAATAATTGACCAAATAAGTTATACTTTGTTTAGTAATGCTTATTTGTAGATTTATTTTTTTTTTTTCCTCTGTTATAATATATTTATGACTAATATTTAATTTACTAATATCTATTACTAATTTCTACTTTTCTAGGTATTATGCGCTTACGTTAGGAAGTGTCCCTAGGAATAGCAGTCTCCCCGCAGTACAGAAGTGCAAGAAGGCCCTGGATTCATGCCAGCTACAAGACTTCAAGGTAAGACTTTTTTTGTGCCTGGTTTAAACGAGACTTTTTTTATACCTTGTCTTGCAAACTTATTTTCTAAAGAAGAGGGCAGAAAAAAAATTAAAACAAAAATTTTGTTTTCTTATTTAGCAAATAGTTTTGTCAAAAACTTTGAGATGGATGAAAAAATAAAATAAAATTCTATTGGTAAATGTAAACTGTAATAATGGAATGGTAAAATGCTTTAAATTTATATAATTAGGGAGAATACATATTTTATTTTTGGAGATTTCAAGGCAGCGCCAAGCGTAATAAAAATAAAAAAAAACTCTATATTTTTTTCTGAAATTTCCATTTTTTTGTGGCGGCGGGTGTAATATTTGTGCAAAAAATAAAATTGTTTTTTTTTTTTCAAAATAAATATTATTTGCGAGCTTGTTATACAAGGTATAAAAAAGTCTTGCTTCAGCAAACTTTTGAAAGGTCTTTAGAGGAGGAGGGAAGAGACATTAAAATTGTTAGACTGCCCTCTATAGAATGATGGTTAAGAGTATTCTGAACTTATAATACTGCCCTCAACAAATACGGTATTAAATTTAAAAAAAATTGGTATTAAGTGTTATGCTCTCAAACCCTAGTTTTGTGGCCAATCAAGAACATTATATTCTTTTATCCACCTAGCAAATCATTCATCTGAAGTTTTTATTTCAGTATTATTAATGATTTGCTATATTTTTATTCAAAATAACACTCAACAGTGAATATCATAAGCAGGGACATCTCCCTGATATAAGCATATTATATAAGATTATGATAGCTATCTTGGTGACCAGATAGCTTCTACATCATACATCATGGCACCCAGCAAATTATACGCCAAGATATTTAATTATGTAACAATGGTAAACCATATATATTTATTTCATCCAATATATGAATATTACAAAAATATATTTAAAGGTGTTGCATAATACAAAACCTGTTCATAAATAATTACAGATCAGCAGAACTGTAAACAAAGAGTTGGCTACTGTTGCAAACAAATTAAGAATGTGTTTAGTGACTAAACTATTTTTAGCTCGTTTAGTTATTGATTTTGCAAGGTATGTAATGACTTAAATTCATTGTTCATATCTGTCAATACAATTATGAGATGATGTGTTTGTTGTAGCTTGCTGAGTTAGATTATAATACCAGTGTTCAGTTAGTCTTTACTTAGCAGCTCTTGGAACCTCCCAAGTCTTATATATGTGTTTACATGACTGAAGGTAAAACTTAAGCCTGTGTCACATTGCAAATAGTAAGATATTTAAGCTTTGAAACTCATGGTCCTTGGTTCAAGTGGATATTTACTTGTGTCCTAGCTTTAGGTAAGGCTCTGATTAATTTGTTTTTTGGAGATGAGGTGTTAAGCTGGTGGTTCTAAATGAACTTGGAAAAGCTATTTGGAAAATATCACAGGATCATTGCCTTGTCTGCTCATCATTTCTTCTGTGTAATGTTGTGTTGGTCAACAGATTTCCACCAAAAAAAAAAACCTGATTTTTACAATCTTAGAATGATACAAGTAAAAGATGTTTTGCCATGTGAACATCATGACTGTGAATGAGTACAATAGTTACTTAATATTCCAAGTGACAATGAAAATCATAACTGTAGATTTCCTTTATTCTGACATGGCAATATTTAAAAAATTGAATATTAGAATGATTGTTTAACAGATTGCTACGCTTTTTCATTTCCAGAACCAGAGTGACTCAGGAAAATATATTGATTTGATATAAATTGCATTGAAATGTACTTTTTTTTGTTTTTAAATCTAAATTTTAAATTTGTTTAAAATCAAATTTTAAAATAGAATTTATTGGGCTAGAAGCAAAATTTAAACCCTTGATGGTCATTGCATAGAAGTGGTTTGTCGTGGCGGGAACGGTTTGATTTCCCAACCTTGATGTTGGGGTTTTCAATCGCTCGCTGTGCATTTCGCTTGTGTCCTTGAGCAAGGCACTATTTGCATTGCTTCTCTCCACCTAGGAGTATAAATGGGTACCTAGTGGAGTTGCAGGCTCCGGCACAGATTACCAGCAGGAACACTTAAAGCATATGAACCCAATGACCAGGGAAAAGAATTGTGCTTTATAATCTCAAAGAAGAGGTGCATTAAAATTGACATAACAGTACCTGTACTGACCAAATGACTTGTCATTTGGATTTGCAAATTTGTATCGTGAGTAAATTTAAAATTGAAAATGGTACTGGGTTTGGAATAAAGAGGTTCATGCTTTGTTCAGGGCATTCAATTCATAGAAGCCTTTTATGGAGAAAGTGTACCTGTTTGTATATTCCTAAAATCCTCAGCCGTAATTAGCCATGATATTCCCAACACGCTTATCTGTAAACTTGTCCAAGTGCTTCTTCCTTGTGATATTAAAGACAATCAAGTAAATTAAATGAAGCTTAAATTGATTGGATTAACTTATTAAGTGTTTTGAGCAGTGACCCAGATGTTGACCCCCAACTAATTGGTTGGATGTGGAACTATTTAAACAGAATGTTTAAAAACAATACAGTAATAATTTATTACTTTTACAAAATATTTTGAATAGCCTCTCCATATTCCAATGATGGTATAATAACGATAGTGTTGGTTGTTGAAGGTTTTCTACTCCTAATTCTAGATATGGCTTTGGCTGGTAAAATGGTAACCAATTGGCTAAAATCCATGATTAAATTATTAATAACTTTAAGAAGTGCCCTTTTTACTATTACGGATATATTTGGCTCCCTTTTGGGGGAAAAATTTGGCAAAAAAAAAAAATATATATATATATATTTTACTATGATCGATCAGGAACATAACTTTTTTAGTTGATCTGATAAGAGTAAGGATAATAGTAAATAATTAATGGAAATATTAACAGTGATAATAAGGATGATGTTTAATAATAAAAAAAACTTCTAATCCTCCATATTTTGTTATTGATCAAATTTTCCACAGCTGTAGTGGTGGATATAATATTAATAAATCATCAAAATATTGTTCATCACTAAATCCGCTTTAGTCTTTCCGCTAATCAATTATTCTTTTATCCCATTGATTTCGTTAACACCTTTTATCACATTTCCTATAGTAATTTTACTACAGAACTTCTTCCCGTTCCCTTAGGGATAGCTGACTTTATCTGACATAAGGGATGTAGTTGTTTTTCATAAGCCAATGTACAACTGAGGCAATAACCCACGTAGGCTGTAAGTAAACTGCTTATGAATCAGTAGCGGGATGTAGCGCGACCATGAAATGACCCAGTCTTTTCTAAGCCTCCCAGTGAATCATTGAAGTACTCTACTCTAGATCTGTAATTAAACACTACCAGCGGAATACAAGAAAATACTCTTTAAAATTTATCTTATTTTCAAGAACTCTTTTGATTAATCAAAGTTGTACAGAGAAGGTAGGCATGGTTTTATGTTATATCTGTATATCCAGGAATAGTGTGTAGCTCCCTATACACAATAGTATGAGTAGAGTTGTGAACCAAGAATGCATATATCTACTATACTACTGTGTCAGTGTATAGCACTAATATTACTACTGTGTATGTGTATAGCATTTTATGAATAGTAAAGCAATAAAAGGGTTTCATGCTTGAGGTTAAGTGAACTCTGACATCATAGTTAGTCTATTAGCAGCTGGGACCTCTGGATGGTTGAACCATGGTTGAACTGATTATTCTGTCGACCTTGTAGACCTAGAATATGCATAAATGCTATACATATTCAATATTATAAATTTTTATGTTCAATTTACAATTCTAAACCATGATTCAATTCAATAAATACATGGACTTATAATGTGACCTGCTCTGGCAAATCTTGACATTTGTCGCAGTTTCTAATTTCGTGTCAGTCCCCAAAATGTTTGCGAATCAGAGTTTTGAACAATTTCAGATTTTTGCAGTTTATAAAAAAAAGATATTGATGAACATTTCTGTAAAATTTCAATCACTGAATCTAAATGAAAAATATATTTAAAATATTTTTAAAATCCAAGTCCTAATAATATACTTTTGAGTTTGGAATCTTTGAAAGCTTTTTTTCATGACCTACAACAGCGTGAAATAAGGACATTCAGTGTCAATTGAAAACAGTTTATGGATATAAGACCATAGTTTGTAATAATATAAAGTATAACACTGTTAACAGAAATAATTTTGTATGTATTCTATGTATGGTGATTTATGTTGTCTAGTCCTTATCCCAGTTGTTTATCTCTTAATTACATTACAGCAATGATTCATTCTGTTAATTAACATGAATTGATTTTAACTTCCTTTTGTTCTAATTGTGGCAAAGGAAACAGTGGATATATCATCAAGGTGTTCTGTAGTTTGTATGGTTGATTTGAACTAAATAGAGATGGATATTTTGTTATAATAATAACTATTATGTATTTTATATTTTAAGGTATTTTCAGTTTCAAGACAGTGTAGGCTTGATGTTTTTTACTGTACTTAACAAATAAATATGAATACATAATTAAAACTTGCATTACACCATTTGGAACAAATATGTTTCCAAGAAAACCACAATGTTCTATCACTACTATGCTCCAGTGCCCGCCTTCCTCACCTATGGATCCAAACCTTGGACCCTTACCAAATACCTGTTGGGCAAACTCAGAGCTTTGACGTCTCAGACGTATGTTTAGAATAAGCTGACTAAACCGGGTGACTAAACATCATGGACCTATTAATAGGTCCATGCTAACATCCAGTTTTACTATAGGTAAACTTACTGACAAACCATTTACTGTATCATCATTTATTATTGAATTTGCATTTTTTTGTAAATAAATGTCACTTTAAATTTAATTTAATTTAATACTTGGTCACCTATATCTGCACGATTCCCCGACAAATAGTAAAAAGTCATGCAAAGCTGTGGTAAACAGGACATGTTTGATGCAGACTGTCAGAGTTGCCGCAGCTCTAACCTAGAAGCATGATTTGCTAGAGTAAATATATACTGTATCCCTTTGGTTGAATATCCACCTGGATTAATAGACACCTGGGGGTTAAATAGCCACATGACTGACCACCTGGTTTTTAATAGCCACCTGAGATAAATAACTATCTGGTTTATACATTCATCTAATATAGATGACTACCTTTTTACTGGTTTAGCTATGACATAGGTAACTATACCACCCGGTTTTACATAGCAACCTGATATACAGTAGTTGATCACCTGGTTTTACATATCCACCAGAGAAAGACAACCCTGTTTAAATATCCATCTATGATAGATGATCATCTGACCAGTGGTCTATGATCTCATTCCCAAATGTAAAAATTATGGATATGTCAAATTTAGGATGAAAACATGGCCCTAACACTTTAAGAACTTTGACATTGGAAAAAGTGCGTTGATCTTAAAGGAACTATTAGTGTCATCTCTTGGTTGAAGTTAGGGAAAATAAAATTTTTTTTATTAGATTATCACTCCTGTCCACATCAAAAATTTGGGAAATATTGATGCAGGAATAAAAAAATTTTTTTTGGCCGCATCAATTATTTCAGCAGCATAAAAATAACAATGCAATTTTGTAACTTCAAATACAATTTCTTTAAAAAGCTATAAAATTAAACCAGTTTTTATACAATATTTACTATTTACAGACCAAATATAAACAGTCCCTCCCTCATTGATAAAAACAAAAGCGAAATAATCTATTGTTTCTATTAAAAAAAAACAAAAAAAAAACCGCCCTCCCTCATCAATTTTTTTTTTAAAAGAGTGATAATCTAATAATTTTTTCTATGTGACCTTAAACCTGAAACATAGCTAACAAGCCTACAAAAACAAAAATCCAACATAAAAATTATGAAACCAAATGGATTAAGAAAAAAATTAATTACAGCTGAAGGTTGGTCATTGAAACCAAAAACAGCAACTAATTGTGTTATTATAAATGACAAATCTGTTTGTAGTTTGTTATTACAGTTAATGCAGTCTTGTCGACAGATAGTCTACAGATACTGGATATAAAACTAATATTTTACGAATGGTTAAAATGTTATGACTTGTTTTTACTGATACTTACATATAATACTTAAGGACACTTGTTGCAGTCTGAGTAGCCACCAGCAAAAGAATGGATTTCTTTATAATATATCAAGAAGTCCAGTCTTCAGTTCACTTTAAACAATTTACAAATACTGTATGAAACTTAGCAGAAAGTGGCTCTAGAGCCCTGGTATTCAACCCCGGCCCACAGGCCAACACCAGCCTGCCAGAGATTTTGATCCGGCCTGCTTAACATTGCTAAAATTAAATCATTTTGCTGCCGATTTTTAGAAAAAATTTTCCTGTTTATAGAAACACCTGCTAGGCACCTCTACTCTAGCATTGTTTACGAGAGTGTAACTTTTTCTGAGTGTAGCTCACTGTATCTAGTGGCTAAGAGTGCTATTTCCGACCATCTAGAGGTGCCATAATTGTACATTTTCTTACTTCAGTCACAACCATGGTGGGGCTGAGGTGGTATTTTCCCCCATCTGTGAAAGTTCTTCACTGGCCCTTTCTATTCCAAGTCCACCACTATAAAAGGAAATGGGTGTTGCTGACATAAAAAAAAAAATGAAGGTACACAATTTATATTGGCCCGTCGATGGTCTCAACAGATTGGAACTGGCCCCCAGCTTAAAAAGGTTGAATACCCGGGCTCTAGAGCATAAAATAGATTGTAAGGATATATTTACAGTAATGTGTTGTATTTTGTTTACATTTACTCATCTTTAAGTTATTGTGGTAGCTTAATTTTTTTTAAATAATTCTATGAATGACTGTACCAAAAATAAGACACAGTGCCTTGAGAAATTGTTTCTTTTTTGTAATTTTTTTTGGGGGGCAGAATACATGCTAAAACATATCACAACTCAATTTTTTAGGCATCCAGTGGGCAGGGCTTTAACACCTGCACACCTACACCCCACCCACTGGTCTCTGCTTTATTGGTCAAATCCTAGCACCGCCCTTAACTCTTAGTAGAGGAACATAAGACCCAGGAGAGACTTGTGTGATTTTTTCATTCTGATAAAAAAAGTTGAGTCTTTTTATGGATTGAACACATGACCCTAGGTTTGGTAGGCCGGCAACCTACTCACCAGGACCACTCCTTAAAATCCTGTCCTTTTGCTTGATAATCAGTAGGATAACATTTGATCCCTCCAGAGAATATACAAAATGATTTTCATTGTTTGTAGGTTATTCTTATTATAGCTGCATGATTTACTCAGCAGCTGTTTCCAGCTGGAAATGTACAAATCTATTTTTATTTTTATATATCATATTGTCTGCAGTAGATTTGTGAAGAAGAGTGTAACTCTTATCAGGAAAGTACATCTTTAGTCATGTTTTTTCACATTATGATTATTATTATTCTATAATTTTTTTCTTTTTGTAGGGTGAAAATAATTTATTGTATTCTCTTTGTGAGAGGCTCATTAATTTTTCTATTGATTAATAAGCATTATTATCACCATTAATAATTGTTTTGTTTGTAGGTTGGTAAGACCAAACTATTCTTCCGATACTGGCATGTGGAGAAATTAGCAGCACTTTGTGCCAAAGAAGACAAGAAAATCTTCATCTGTCAGAAAGGTAATTTGAAGTGTTCCATTCAGTTTATTGTCCCCTAAAACATGGTATATTAATATTAAGAGGCTTTGTTTGTTGCTAGATTATTCATAATCCTGTCATTAACTACTCTTAAAAAAATATTCATGGCTATTTTTTTTTATCTTTGAGTAATGTAATTCCTGCAAAAAGTAAAATTTAAATGGCAATTTATTTGATGTTAGATTCTTTTTAAAAAATAAATTATTTCAGTTTAAAAAAAGAATGCATATAATGATTTAAAAAAAATCAGTTTTAATACAGAATTTAATTATTGGGGGCCATTTTTACCTACCTGTTATTTGGGGCCATTTTTACCAGGGCCATTTTTACTGGGGCCATTTTTACCATACACCATCAATGAATAGTATCTGTAAAGGCTGTTAAGACTATCATAGATTCTGTTTTACAAAAACACATAATAAAAATATATGCACATGATGACTATATATGGGCATACATCAGTTTTTTGTCAAATAAAGAACTTAACACACACTTTATACCTCAACTGCATCTAATTAGCATCTCATTAATAAGATTCAGTTATGTATACAATTGAAGCTTTTTTACACCATATTGCAGCTCAAACTGAATTTAATTATCATCTCATTAACATGTCATTAATCTCCATAAATCGATTACAAACACATGAATAAACTGAAGTATATTTAGTGTTAGTGCATCCGATTACCATATAATTAGCATACATTTATTTGCACAAATTCACTAACATTGCTCAACCATACATACATCTAATTAACATATCATTATTATAAATATATTCATTTCTCCTTGCGTCTTCATTGAAATGTTCAACCTCCCGTGTTCGCTTAACCTTGCATGTTTGAATGAAATGTGCATTTGAATTTGTTGTAGGATAAGCAGTTGATCTTACATCTCAGTCAGTAACATGTCCAATGGATTAGTAACATGCCCATAGGATTATTAACATCGTGAGAAGGTATTTTCAGTCTAATCTCGCAGTCCATCCATAAATCTCGCGTGTCTCATCATATTGTAGTATCTCATCATATTTTGATGTCTCATGTGAGATTATTTACACAGTGTGCTAAATTTTCTAATTTTAATACTCTTTGTTCATGGGATTTTTTTTCAAATTTGAATGTTTTATGTTTTATTTATGTTTTTATATCTTCTTAGTTCTTGTTGACCTTGTATTGTTGATCTGTTTTTGATTTGCCCAACATAAACATATTGTGAATTTAGCCATCAAGTTATAGACATTTGGTTAGGTATTGAGTAATAAACAATAATGGAATACTTTGTAAATAAACAGGTGACTACGGTATATAAAAACAATAAATATTTGTTCAAACATCATAAAAAAATATGAACAATCTTCGATTCTTTTCTTTACCAAAAAAATGTAATTGTTTGCCTTGCATTTGTGATCCAGACTTGACCTAGGCCTGTAAATATTTTTTCTCCTTTATTCCATTTGTGTATATTTATATATATTAATGAATAAAGTGATTTTGTATATTGTTTCCGTTTCAAGGATTTTAAACCAAAACGAAAACACTGTCTTTTGTGCTTTAATTAGGATTATCATTAACACCATTACTGTTTTATTTGTTTTTATTTAATATTGTATTTATTTATTTGTTCTTGAAACTGGAGGGTCTCATCTGTAAAGCAGTCCTGTTCAACCAGAGAGTCCAGTATATTAAGCCTAAAAAATAAATTGTTTGTTTGCCCATCTTTTTTTTTTTAATTATTATAAAAAAGGGGTGGGTGGAAAAAGTTTTTTTTTTAAATTTTTTGATGAGATACTCATCAGATGGAATAAAAATAACCCACAGAGGCTTAGAAAGGCAATATCTTACATCAGACAACAAACAACTTTAGACTAATTTGTACGGCATCTGGCAAAAAATGAAGATAAATTCACTCACGTTTTTAAAAAAGCTTCTTTTTTGTTTTTCCGCCCCTATTTTTTTCAGTGAATTAGGGGCGGGTGGAGGAGGGCAAACAAACGATTTTATTTTTTGGCCTTTACTTGTCATTTTGTTAATATTGTTAATTGCTATTATACTGTACCATAATTATTCTTATTATATTTGTTATTACTATTGTTCTACTTTATGTGACAGTTTGTAGACAATGGGATATTGTTTGATGGATCACTGGAGGGTGTGTATATATCTGACAGGATGATTGATATAGTTGTTAATAGTCGGTAGATTATCAATTTGTTACTTAAGTATAATTATTCCATGTCATTATGCTATGCTAATAGCGTAAGACATCGAGACATAAACACACAATTTTTAGTATTGGCGTGATTAATTAGGAGTAACCTTTGACCTGATACAGCCACCTTGCTGTAACTCCACAGTGAACAGATGTTGAAATTAGAGAGGCAAGGTGAAATAATAAGGTAAAACTACCAACCCTTGAGGGTCAGTTAGTTTATCGCTATCTCAGGAAGCAAACAGTCATTTCATTTATACTGGCAGTCTACTAGACAGGAAGTGCTAAGTGTACTACATTTCATGTTGCTGAGCTTCAGGCCAGATTGAGGCAGACTGGAAGTAGGACAGGAGTAATTTCCACTTCCTTTGCACCAAAAATACAGGCTTAAGTTCTTCCTTATTCTTCATAACCGGCCTAGAAATTCCTGTGTATAGGTACAGCTGCGTTGATAGCGTAGAGAGGAGAAAACAACCGTCATCTACTGCTAAGTTTGGCCTAGAGAGAGTGAGAGTGTTTTGCAATACAAAAGGACTCACATGTAGACGAATGCAGTGATCTGTATCGTAGGTCATTGACAGGTAAACTCCCTGGATCTCCACACACAGCATTGTTACTGTAGCAGTCTTTGTTGTTACTGATCATTATTATTCCATGCTTTCATATTTGGGACTTATCCAGCATTTAGTCTGTTGCTCAGATTTTTAGCAGGTAAATCATGTTTAACTACTCCTTCTACAATTTTACATTAAGGATAGGCCTGAGATTTTCCTCTCTTCATTAGCATTTTTGTGAATATTTATTTTCTTTGTAGTTTTTCTAGAACCGTCACCAATATTTTTATTTTGATTAGTGGTATTAGTTTGTCTTTACCACTCTCTTAATGATCATTAAGGAAGTGGTCAATTAAGATTATGTAACCACACCTCTGTTATAATAATTATTTTGTTTTAATTTTACATTTTAATTTTCCCCCTGGTTATTTTGTGTAGAATATTTAAGTGTAAAAAGAATGTTAATGAAATATTAACATAATTAAATATAATTCTTTTTATGTATTCTGTGTTTATGTAACCACACCTCTGTTATGATAATTATTTTGTTTAGAATATTTAAGTGAAGAATGCTAATGAAATATTAACATAATTAAATATAATACTTTTATGTTTTCCATAAGAAATATTGCTGTTATTTTGGTGAATTAAATAATAGTGACGTAATTTAATCATAAAAAGACAGAAACTAATAACTTGTAAATCAAATCACATTAACTACAGTAAATGTAATAATTATTATTAATAAGTTACTGAATGAAAATATATTGAATGAAATTAAATACACTGGATATTCAATTTAGTAATCACATTATTATAAGTAATATAATAAGTAATTAGTGTAGTCATGGATCATACACTAGTGGAAATAAATAAAATTAAAATTAAATAATTTGATTTTTCGCTTTAGATTTTTTTTATGTGAAGATAAAATTAAGAATAAATACTGTAAATAAAGACGAAAATCGTTGTGAACTACATTTCCAATAGGTAGGGTAAATATTGTCAAGGGGATCCCCCTCATGACACTGACAACCATGTACTGACCGGTACTTGCAGCATCACATAGAAATTAATCATAAAATGCATCTGCAGAATGTTATAATTTAACCTGAACCTACAGATATTGCATTTAATATTATGAACCCAAGGCCAAGGTAGTGTACAGTATTCTATCTTTTACCATCGAATGTTATTATTTGATATAGTTATAAATCACAGATGTGTATAAGAGAC